ATTTAACTTTCTGGTGGGGTTTGGAAAGATCTTTCCTCTCACAAGTAGCTTACCTGACTGATCTCTCTGTCTGCATTTATGTGTACGGAGGCACAGTCCCCCAGAGAAAGCCTTGTGTAACACAGTCGAGGTTTGTGCTCTGACAGAGAAGCTGAAAGGGCATCTCTTGCATCTGATACTGCATCACAGTGGGATAACAGCAAGACAGTTTTCCTGGATTTTAGACTGGGCAGCAGCAGGTTGTAGCCGGTGGTTTTGCATGTGGACTTCTGAAAGAGACTCAAAATACCTCTATGTCCAAGCAGCTACTGAGTGGTAGTTTTAAGAATGTCAGAACACCCTAAATTCTTGCTGAAAGCAGCTTTTTAATACTTGAACCGACCTGTTGTGTTTGAGTCCTGGCAGAATAAAACCCTTGCTAGAACCCATCCATTTGTCGCCTATCCCATCTTTTTGGTCTGTTGTCTGCTTGGATGACCGTGGCTTAGGTGTTCCAGAAAGTGTTGGTTTCGGCATATGGTCCCAGACATCCTCACTGCTGATCTCTGCACCAGTGTCTGTACCTGGTTGCTATGTGTTTTAATGATCTGATTTTGGAATATCTCAGAAGAGGAAAAAACCTGCTTGAAAGGCCTCCAATCTGTCTGCCCAGAAGATCTGTCTTCACCAGAATATTTGGCATGTGGACACTCTGTCAAAGTCCGGTGTCCCATAGGAAATTGCTCATTCAGGGTGTGTGGGGCAAATTACTGGGGGAAAAAGTGAGATATACCTGAGACAGATAGCAGATATTCTGTGTGTTAAAGCCACCATGAACTGCAGCTCCTAATCTCAGTCATCCCTGCATAAAGCAGTGTTTTTTGGTGAGGAGGCAGATGACTAATCGGGATACCACTACTACCTGTACTTATGTTAATGAGCCTGCTAACGCCCACTCTTGTGTTCTTTTTTCAGAAACCCTATCTGTGTAAGACTGCACTGTGGGAAAATCTGAAATGTCCCAGGGTAGGGAAAAAAATCTATTCAGAATAAAATGAAGTGGACCTGCCTCAGGTCATACAAACTAGCTTGGATATAGAGTTTAAACTTGCCCAGAAAGAGCAAACTAAACATTTGTTGTAGAGGATGGGGAGAAGGAACAAGTTGAAAATGGCAAGTGTAGCAAGAGGGCTAAGATTAAAAGGATCTGCAGAGGCCTTTACATCCGTATGGGATTTAAAGTAAGTCAGGGTTGCAGGAGTTCTTTAGACAGTAGAGAAGACCTGTGAAGCACCACTGTTAACTTATACTGAGAATAAACTGTCTCTCTATTCCTGGTGCCACACAGCACAAGGAATGGGAGTCTGCAGATGCATGCATCTGTTCTATTACCTACAACTCAGTTTTTCACTCACTTTTTACTTCTTGCGCTGCTCTGGATATATGTGTATACACATATTCATCTTATTTTTTAAAGAAAATTGTTTGCATCTTGTGCCTGTTGTGTTAGGATCCAATCACACATAGTTTCAAATTATCATGATGTACCATTGACCTTTCCTTCATCTCTTGATGGAAAATCCCATCAGAGGCATAATGTAAAAAGTCAGTAGCATACAGCCACTAAGGAAAACAGTGTATAACAGCACTGCATATTGATGCTTCATTCTGCTGTTTCAAGCTTTAGAATTACTACCCCTAAAACTAAGGGAGAAAAATCCTAAGGAAAATAGATGCCTTGCCTGAGCTGACACAGAAATCCATATCTCCAGATGGAGGCAGCACTAGCTTGCACTGCAGCTCTCTAGGCCACTGCCTGCCCAGCAAGCATGTGAGCTGCAAGTCTTGTTTTCTCAGAGGGCTCTTCCACATCTCTGCTGCTGCAAAAAGACAGCATGTCAAGTACAGCAGATAAAACTACCATCGTTGTAGAGTGGACGGCTATCACATGCCATCAGCCATCTCTGCCTTGCTTTAAGTGCTTCCCAGACACACTCCGCGCCTGCCTTGCACCTACTGGGGCTGCCACTGAGGTACCATCTCTGTGGGCTAGTGTCATCCCTTACAGCTTTGTGACCAAGGGGAGCAGTGAATTCTCAGGCTCGGAGATGACCCCTCAGGATCTGGAAAAGCCTCCCTCCCCCTTGTCTCTGCTCTGAGAAACATGGAGATTAATGCATCCAGGTCTCAGGGATTGTGCCTACTTTCATATGGGCACTTCCAAAGTGGCTGTGACAGCTTCTGCAGGTATTGCTGAGGTGATGAAGTCATTCTTTACTACTGTGCTTGGGAGCTCTGTGGTGGATGGGGGTCCGTGCTGGTGACATCCAGGTGCCTCCAAGGGAGCGTGGTCACCCATCTTGGGCTGCAATCTCTGCTCTGTCCCCATCCTCATGCACAGCAGCTTTCCTGTTGGTAGCAAGGTGTCTCTGCACCCAGGCTCCCACAGCCTTTTTATCCTCCTCCAGCCAGGCCCAGGGTTGATTCCCTGCAGAGTACAGTACCAAAGGCACAGCAGGTGAGGTGATGCTCATGTGATCCTGAGCAAGCCTTGCCTTTCCCTAAAGCTTTGTGGTTACACTGCATAACCTTAGAGTGCTTTCCCCTGGCATGTGCAATGGATGTGTGGGGTAGCAGTGATGGAAGTCATGCTGCTATTGTCATGTGTCAGACGGAATTCCAGAAGCAGGGCCTCATTTTATCTTCCCAGATGAAATTCCAGGAGTGCATGAGGGAGGAGTTCAGTTTCTTAAGGGCTGCTTGAGGCCAGATCTTAAACACTACTTTTAGACACTCAGGTTGGATACTACCATGCCTAAAATACAGGTGCTGCTCCCCAAAGACTGATGCTTGTTATCCAGCCTAGGCACTTTACCTCCGTGTTTACAGTTGGGCAGACTGAAGAGCTGTTCTGAGATAGAGGGTTGGAAATGTGATTTCCAGAGATGAGGCAGGATGCCTCAGTTGCTCCCAGTGCTCTGGGACCTGACACAGAGGCATATACTAGATGGCTCTACACGTGCAAGATGTATAGCACTCCTCCCACACTCCCGGGGGGCAAGAAAGCCGTTCTGCACCTCCCACTACCACCTGCTTCCAGGAGCTGTGACAGAAACCTTGAGATAGATTGCAAAAGAGCAGCACAAGTGAAATGCTTGCCTCAGATGCTAAGGGCTGGCACTGGGCAAGGGTGGTGTTGTGAGGCCCCTATACAGCTCCTGGTGCTGCTCCACAGTGTAGCTGTGGCCATGGCATTCATGCACACATGACCCTACATACTGTTTTAATTAATTTGTTTTATACAGGCGGTGGTTGTTCAGAAGGTCTTCCAACTATGCCTAAAAGCATGCATTAGGGAGCCAAAAAATCAGTTTATAACAAACAAAATAGCCCTGGCTCATGATGGCTGGCAGCTCTGCCTCCAGCAGGCTTGGGCTAGCAGCCGGCTTGACATCCTGTGCTCCAGCCTTCTCCCCTGACTGAGAACCAGCATGGCAGAGGTGAAGGAGGCAAGCACAGGGGCAGCAGCCACAGGGCTGTGCTGTGACTTAGGCAGTCCCACTCATCCAGCTCAGCTCCATGGCACACTGGTTGGTCTGGAATAGGGCAGCTGCCTGTAAAGGAGCACAAATAACTAGGAGCCCAAACAGTGAAGCATTATTCAGGGAAGCTTACTATGGCTTTCAGGGCCTCTGGTAACTGCACGTGAGCTTACCTGGCCTGTGCTTATCCTCCTTTGGCCTTTTGGATGCCATGAGTGAGTCCCTCCCTGCAACTCTACCATACTTTGTACTGACCGTTCTCCTCCTGGCTTCAGGGTTGTTCATTCAAGTCGTAGCTTTTTGTCTCTGCTGTTGTATCTGGGGAGAACTCCAGGACCCACTTTGTAAATCACTCCTTTTTTGTTGATCTTTGAATGTAAAGTGTGCTCACCTGTTGTGCCAGACCTCATAGTACTAAGACATACTGGAGTTCCTGAGTTCCTTTCCAGCTCTTCCAAGCTGGAAAACCCCTGGGATAGTTTTTATATTTCATGGTTGTCTATAAATAGCTGTCATAGAGCTGCCATTTATATTCCCTTCAGGAGACTCTGAAGAAAGTACATTAATGGATGAAACCTGCACCAGTGCATGGTAGAAATCTTTTATGTGAACTTCAACACCTTCAGTTTCCATATGTGCTGTGTACTAGGGTCAGCCTTGCTGCTTTGGAGGTACTGTGTTTGTGCCTGAAGGCAAAGCCTGTGCAACCCAGAGAGGTGAACAGTAGGGTCGTGGAGTGCCAGGAAGATGACATGGAGTGCTGTTCAATCCTTGCACCCTTGTTTTGTAAAAGCAAAGTTGCAGTGTCATTTAGGTTAAGGTGCTTGGGTTTGTTTTTCATCATTATAGTAAACATTTATTCCAATAGAATGTGAATGATGAGGTGTTTTTCCTGTCTTCAAACCAGCTAAAGATTGATACTTGCTGGAACACCTTGGTTTTCTAGAGGAAGGGCTGAAAGGGGAGCATGGGAATTTCCCTCTGCAGGTGCAGCAGTTTTGCCCTACATGTTTGCAGCCCTGAGGCTTCACTGTTCTTCCCGATGCCTCCCCACTCAGTTCTTCCTGGGCTGGAAAGACTTGTCCTAGCTAAAGGGGTTTTTTTTTTTGCATCATTTTCTAACTGTTACAAATAATTCAGTAGAATGGAAGTGTCAGAGAAATAATTCTGGCACACCTTTCCCAAGCTACTGTAGTGAGAACAATATGAAAAACATACAGGCAACGGCAGAGCTCATCTCTTGTTTTGACAGTCGTCAGGTCGTGTAAGGTTCTGCACTAGAATGTGAGTTTCATGTGTTTGGAGGGGTTTTTGGCTTCTACTGGAGGTGAGAGTGAAACCTGATGAAGTGAGTTATCAACAACTCCGCTGGCACCATGGCAGGAAACAAAAGCAGCTTTTTTCCCTCAGCAGCATGTGCCGATCTGCATTAATTACCCCTGCCCCCCATAATCTCTCGCCATCCTTTCTTCCCCACAGGTGAGCGACCATTCCCCTGCACGTGGCCCGACTGCCTTAAGAAGTTCTCCCGCTCTGACGAGCTGACACGGCACTACCGAACCCACACCGGCGAGAAGCAGTTCCGCTGCCCGCTCTGCGAGAAGCGCTTCATGCGGAGCGACCACCTGACCAAGCACGCCCGCCGCCACACCGAATTCCACCCCAGCATGATCAAGCGATCCAAAAAGTCCAGCTCCAGCAGCTCCTTGTGAAGGCAGGGCTGGCCCTGGGTAAGGAGTGGAGAAGAGGCAGGCTGTGGCGAGGGTGCAGGCAGTGGTGCCAGAACACGAGCATCCACTGCGGTGCCGGTCACCCTTGCTGTCCAAAAGCACATGTAGCCGGCATTAAAAAAACACGTACTCAGTATCCCCCTCCCCATCTTCCACCTCCTGGCTCTGCCCTGAGAACAGTCTGGAACAAGTGGACTGTGGGGTGAGAGGAGGGAAGGGGCAGCCAGGGAGAACCACCTCTTCCAATGTAATGTGTTGATACTGGTGTACATACATGTGACTGGGCGGTCTGGCCTGTGCCACCACAGTAGCATGACCCCAAAGTCTTTGTGATTGCTGTGTCATGAACATGTTTTGTTGAACAGTGTAATGCTGCTTGTATTTAGAGTCTGTCGAGTAAAAACACTTTCCGAGTCACGTAAATAACTCAGATAAAAACTCCATAGCACATTGTAGAAGTGGGTTTACTTCTGTGTATCTTCTGCGATCCTGCACTTAAAGAGACTATTAAGAGAAACAGTACATATGTTACCAATAGTATCTGACTGATATAGTGAGATAAGGTGAATTTATACTCAATAAGGCCCATTAAAGTAAATAGGTATTTTTAACTTTTCTTTGTATTAACTATACTTTTGAATATCAGCTGGACTTTTCCAGTAAAAACATGTATGGTTCAAGAAAATACTTAAAGCAAAAAAATCCCCATAAAGAGCTCAGTAATTTTCTGACTGTGTGTGTATTTAGCTCTGTTACTCACTTACCTGGAAAAATTCAGCTCAGCCTCGATAATGTGGCGGGCATGTGGGAGCTGAAGCATATGTCTCTCATATGATCCCATACTTTACTTGTCAGTAATATAGTACTGTACTACAGAAATGCCACTAACAGTGCTTTATTCTGCTGTGGTTTGTTTGAACGGGTGCACAAAGCAGCTACCACCTTTACAAACTGCTGCTGTTTTAAAGGCTTTTTCTCTTCCTACACTTGCCTTAAAGATTTATTCTCTTCATACCATGGCCTAACTCCCTTGGAGTCCTATGGGAATTGTGTGTGCTTATGGAGAGAGTAGACCTTTTCTTAAGAGCACTCTGATAACGGAAACACCTAAAATTACTGTAAGGAGCACTTCGGAAGGGCTCCTGTATCTCTTGATTGCTCTTTCTCTGGAGTATGGGGGAATACCACACGCTAATTTGAAATACAGAAGGTGTCCTGCAATACTCCTTTAGAACATAAGCTTCTCTTAGTACTTTGTACCTGTGTCATGCATGGCACATCAAATGGTGATAAAAGCAATGTTAACTTTTATTTTAAAGCTATTTTTTTTATCTTTAAAAGGAGCAGAAAGACCACTGAATGAAAACTTCTAGATGTGATCATTAGTGAATATTTCAAATATTTTTATGTTAAAAGCGTGAAATTTAAGAGGTTATCAGTGATATATTTTTTCCCCTCCCCAGCTGCATAATGGGGGAGAATCTGTTTACACATTATTTTTTCCAGAAATGTTCTTCTGTTTGGTTTTTACCCCTTCCTCCAGAAGAGGAAGGGGAGGTGCAGCCCTACTAGAGACTTAGGGCCAAATTAATTTTGTGAGTACTTACACTGAAACCCAAAGTGTCTCCACTGCAGATGAATTTAGGTCATCTTGTAAAATTTTGTATATAAAAGATCTTGTTAGCACACCTGCAATTACAGTATCTTATTGTTTTATCTGATAAAAAGCTTGCTTCCTAGAAACAAACATAAAAAATTAACGTGGAGAGTAGAGTGTTTTCCTCTACAGTTGTATATGGCTTTCAGCATTAGAAATCAGTTCGCATACTGTGTTTTTACCTGTGTAGAGTTCATGATAGATTTCGTCTATGTGAAGAGAACTTCTTTTAAAGCATTGGGGATATTGAACAGTCTATGGAATAAAAAGGGATGTGTTTTCTTCAGTGAAGACATCAGGAAACCAAGCACACTTTCTACCTCCGTTTCAGCTTTTTGAAACATTTATTTTAGAAACCAAACTTTAATTTCTCGTATTCAGATTGAGTTATAGGGACATAGGTTCTTTATAATAAAACCTGGTAGTGTTGGTGTTTTTATTGATCAAGATATACAGAAAGTATTCTGCTTACTAGTACTGTTAATGCTGCCTTGTGGAGTAGGGTCAGGGCCATGAGCAGCCCGATGAGATTCAAAGGTGCATCTTTGTTCATCTTTGTTCTTCTCTCCGAAGATCAAGCTAGATTTCAAGTCTCCATCCTGCAGTCTGGATTGCTGCCATTTTGTGGGACAAATACAGCACTTGGAAAATTAAAGCCCGATCCTGTGAAATACAAGACATCCTCACATCCAGTCAACCACAACTAGAAGCCACAGCTGATAAGCAGCTTCTAAATCAGTATGTAAACATTTTGGTCACTTAGCTACCAGGATTAATGGCCAGCTTTATAGTATCCATGTGTATTTGGGGTAGAATGCACATGTAAAGAAATGTTCCTGCAAAGTCTGAAATAGGCAGAGGAACTTTAGTCCATGGGACAATGGGACATGCAAGGCATGTGTCACCACTGCCAGCGACAAGATCCTGTTTCTGAAAAAACCCTTCCTAAATGGTAGTATATGCTGTATTTCAGCATTGGACAGCCAGGATTAATGTGATTCATTAATCGCTAAGAGAATGCATTGGGAATTACCAGGTTTGGGGATATCATTGTACTGTTTTGTTCATTTGGTTTGTTTTTTGTTTTTTTTTCTTTCAGTAAAAGCAAACAATGGCTTTAACACCTAAAACAAACTGCAGGTTAGATCCTTGCATCTTGAAGTTAAGTTTTGAATAGTGTTGCAAGTGTTGGAAAAGAAAAGGAAAATCAGGTTCTCTAATACTGTATGTACTTGTTGTACTATTTGGAAGTACTTAATAGCGCTGAAGTTAGGACAGCTCCTCTCCTTGATTAAGAAAGTCCATTAGTATAGAGAAGTCATGGATTTAAAGGTATAGCTATATAACATACTTCTTCTTGAACTTTTTTCATGACTGACATTACAGATCTGTTTTCAGATTGCAGATGGACTTACGCCAGCATACACCAGACTGGACACATACTTAAAAATACTGTTCTACAAACCAGTGATCTGTAACACTGTAAAATACAAACTCCCAATAGTTTAATCAGTTTTATTTTTGTACAGTATTCGTATTCTTTATAAGTTATTTTGCTGTCCTGTTTTGTAAATCACATGAAATTGTAAAAAAAGGAAAAGAAAAAAAAAAGTAGGCATAGGTGTTTTTGTACATATGTATATATATATTGTCCAAATAAAGCAAAAAGGAATAAAAAACCCAAACATGGTCTTGAATAACTGGAATCAAGCAGTGGTCATGTAAACCAGCCTGAATGACCACAACAAAAAAAAAAACTGCACATTACGAAATCCATAGTTTGAGCAGTGTGTGAACCAGCTTCAAAGGTCTTAGTGCTGCTAGTCATCATTTAGCTTGGATTGTCTTTCTCTACTTTTCCAGGGTGTTTTCCCAGGCATTCCTTCTTCCGATACAGCAGGGAGACAGAGACAAAACTTGTACTCAGGAAAAAGTGTCCCATCACCTGCATGCTCCAGCTCCCAAGAAGTCTGGCTCCCACTGCTCCATGGCTTTTGAGCTCAGAGTGGTGCTCTCCCTCACTCTGTGCAGCTGCTGAGTAGAAAATGAGGCTTCAGCCACACTGTGGACTCTGCAGACACACTGCTGCCTTGAGCTTTCCATGGCTTTGGAGGGTTCACTGGTGTACAGAGATAAAAAGCATCTGCTCGACTCTGAAAGGGAATGGCAAGGTACCCTGTGCCAAAAAGCTCCCCGACATGCACAATCACGGGCATCACAGTTACTGAAAGCACCCACTTACAGGAACTTAACCAGGTGCAGGGGCACAGGGCTTGGATATGACTGCAAGATGAGCCCTGGACCCAAGGGAACATGTAACCTTCCAGCAATGCAGGTAGGGACATATGGGTGGAAGATTGCCATCTGCAGCTGGAACAAAACTTGTAAGTAGCTTCCAAATTTTACTCAATGCTGAGTTGGAGTTTTCTCTTCTTGTGTTGGATGGCTAAAGGACAGATAAAAAAACCTGCGCATAATGTTTTCTTTTTTCAGCTTGTCATTGATTTTATGAATAAGAGAGACAGGGCTGTGGCACTGGCTTCATTCCCTTGCAATCTCATCATAAAAGACTTTCCACAAATTTACCATTCTTTATCTTAAACCTTTTAATATTTGGTTTTAGTTCTGTAATTTGAACAGCTACCAAAAGCTGTGTAGTGTAGAGGAGGCTTTAGAAGGAGGATTCCAACCACTGAGATGCAGTACAGAGGGGTCTTGCCAGGAGTGGTATAAATTTTGACTAGGAATGGGTACATCATGCAAAGTCTTGGGTGCACCATGGAGGCATTGACAGTTGGCATGGGGAAGTGTGACCCTGAACACAGACCTGCTCATTCTGAGAGCATGGTTTCTACAAGGTTGTAAGGGTATTCTGTATTTTCATTTTTCCTTTCTGCCAAGGATAAAAGAAAGGAAACATGCCATAAAATGTCTTAACAGTCTAGTTAAATGACTGTAGAGTGGTTCAGAAAGCTGCTTACAAGGAAGCATGGCTTTCTGAATCTGCCTGCTGGTTGACCTGGATAATTTTGATCTCCACAGGACTCTATAACAATGTGGTTCAGCACTCACTCTTCCAGGCTAAAGAGTCTGTGAGGTTTTATTTATGCATCAGAGCTTTGTAACAACCTCTACTTTCTCAATAACTTGTTTTGGAAACAAAACTTTCAGACTGAGCTCCTCACACTGTTCAGCCACATTGGAAAAATTTCTTCAGCAGTAATTTAATACAAATGCCCAATTGTCAGAACACTGTACTTACTCAAGTACTGTTTATGGGACTCCCTTAAAGGAGAGGAAGCTTTCCCAATGGGAAGAATTTTTCAGCTACCAGGCTTTCGCTGCCATGCTGTCCTCAGCTGAGAAACTCTCAGACCCCCAAAAACACCTCCTCAAACACTTCCACAGGTATTGTGGAAATCTTCCTGTTTCAAAGAGATGATCTTGACTGACATCAGTTCTAATCCTTAACAGACACTTATTTCTGTATGATTACACACATTATTTTTCTGGCTCATCCACGCTTTTGGGTAAATTAGAGTCCCTATTGCTTTCAGTTTGTATTTTTGAAATTGCTCCAACTATTGCTGTATTTTTACTGGCTTGTGACCTTCAACTGATAATTGATAAACATCCTATCACTTCTCGTATCAAACCCCATCAGTGTCTGTTTCGTAATGTCTGCTGCCTCTTAGACCACATAATGCCTGCGTGTCTGCACAGTGAAACACAAGGTACAAAGGAAATGGAATGTATAAACCACAGCACACAGGACACTGAGTACGTAAGGGCAGTTCACTATGACAAGATCCAACAAGGCCCTCTTGAAATTCAGAACTCAAGGAGAAATAAACCAAAGATGCACAGAAAAGTCTCAGACTTTCTCAATGGCTTTTTCTTGCTCTTCTGGCTAATGGGCAGGGACCAGAAAGCAGCAGAAGTTTCAGAAGACACAGATTTAAGGTATATTAGAGCTCCCCAGAAGCACCACATACAGCGATGTTGGCTCTTCTGCTGTTAATGACTGCTTTGGTGGCTTTGAACAGGGTTTCCCAGCAGAAAGCACATTTTGAGGGCACATTATGAAAACCCATGCATAACTACTCTGTCAAAAAATACAAAGGAAAACCATTTACTATAGCTTGTGCAATGCTGGTCTGCTTTTCTGCATTGCATGAAATAAGCCAGGCCTTATCTAGAAGCTAAACTACACTCAACTCTTACATCTAATAAGCCATATTTCTTAGGGGTATCATTTTTAAACAAACACTTCAAGGGGGACAGCCTTACTGTAAATTTATTCAAACTGAAATAAAGGATTCTCCCCAATATAAGCTACTGCAAGGATTTTTCATGAACGTACTGATTTCTGACATACTGATGCTTAGGGAATTGCATGCACACTGGCAACTGTTACACTAGGAAAACGCCAGTATATTTTACACAGCAAAGTGTATTTTAAATTCTGCAAAAATTCTGACCAGGACAGTCCTTCATGGATGGTACAGTTCAGCTCAGAAGCAAACACAAAGTAGAATCAGAATTCTCAGCTGCTGGGGCCCACAAAAAACTGTAACACCAGTGGCTTTTCACCTGAACAGTCCTTTAAGCTTCACTGCAGGAGGACAAAGTGAGGCTGGTACTCTTGGTGGTATCTGAAAAGTCCCTTTGCACTCCTTGTACTGATCATCTGCTTTGGATTTACAGTGTGTTTGTAATTCCTCAGGAAAATGAACAACAAAACCAACAAAACAAGTAAAAACCCTGAAAAAAAACCCAAAACACCAAACCAACGAACCAACCAACCAACAGAAAACCTGCAGAACCCAACCATCCAAAAAAACTTTTATTGTCCATGAAAACCGTTTACATGACCCAAACTGATAATGGATTGCAGTTAAGGTCAAGCTGTGTAATGTTCACAGTCTACAGCTTTGGTAACAAATTGGGAAGGGGGAATTGGACATCGTTCCCCTTTAAATTATGCGATCCAGATTCTTTTGAACCCATCCATGTTACATGTCACCTGTGCACTCTTCAGCTCTCTGTTCTTTTCTATGGCTCCTTGGTATATTCTGCCACCATCTTCTGAGTTATCATCCCTTCCCTTCATCTTGCTTCCTGCAAAATCAACTTTGTCCACTACTATGCACGGCTCCTTATCCCCAAAGAAGTCTGTCATTCCTTTCTGGCTAACTTGCCATGTTCTCATCATTGTGCTTTCCAAAGAGGTCAGTCTGCAAGCAGGTGACTTGCTCTTCTATAAACACACAACAAGCTAAGATATTTGCCAAGATCTCATTTAGCTCTGTGTGCAAAAATGACAGGTGCAACATCACGTTTTGAGACCAACACACACTGTTGTTGTGGGTTAATCCTGAGTGGCAGCTCAGGGCCACATGCCCACCCTGCCCCTGTGGGATGGGTCAGAGAATCAGAATGGTAAAAGTGAGAAAACTTCTGGGTTGAGATAAAAACCAGTTTATTTGGAAAGCAAAAGCTGGGTGCGCAAGCAAGGCAAAAGAAGGAAGTCATCCACTACTTCCCATCAACAGGCAGGTGTTCAGCTATTCCCCCAGAAAAGCAGGGCTCCACCACACACAGCTGTTACTTCGGAAGACTTAATCCAAACACACCTCCTTCTTCCCCTAGCTTTTACTGCTGAGGACAATGTCATACAGCATGACATAGCCCTTTGGTCAGTTGTCCCACCTGTGTCCCCTCTCAGCTTCTTATAAACTTGTGCTAGCGAGGCAGTGTGAGAAACAGGAAAGGCATCCATGCAGTGCAAAGCACCCCCAGGAGTAGCAAAAACATCCCTATGTAACCAACAGCGCAAACTCAAAACATAACTCCATACAAACTTCTATGAAGAAAATATCCCAGCCAAAACCAGTACAATTGTCAAAAAACCCCCACTGGCCTAGATCAATAGGATGAAGACTAGACAATGGGGAAATTACTTCCAAGAGTAACTGGGGAGCAGCTTAGTGCAGAAAAGCTGGAGGAATTTGGTGGAAAGCATAAAGGTGGGAATTGGTGTCAGAGGATTACACCATCAGCAAGAGCAGAACCACAGGAGAGGTTGATAGGCTGCTCTAGTGCCGCTTATCACCTCTCTTACTTCTGTCTCTACTGTTGCTGATGGTCCTTATTTTTCCATGCTTTCCCTGCTGGCTTTCCACACTGCTACAGTCAAGACTGAAAAGCTTTCAGTGGCTAAAAATATTGTCTTTCTGCACTCACCTCCCCTCTCCCTACTAGTTCAGCCTTGTCAGTGGCTGAAGTTAGCATCAAAGTAAAATGAGGTTATAGCAACTACTAGATCAGCCCCTGCTACAAAAAATTGCTCTTCACCCAAGCTATTGGAAATATGCAAAGGACACTGGATCAATTCCAGAGCCTCCTGGAAGCATGGCTTTTGGCAAGCCTAGCCTGGGAGCAATGGCATAGAAAGGGTCGGGATTTTCAGATGTTTAGGCAGAACAGGTGAAGAATTTTTCTTTAACTCCCTTCCACATATCCTTTCTCTCAGAAACTATAGTGTACTTAATCGTGGCTTTATTCTTAATTAGCAAGGAATGGGGGGGGGAAGTGCTTCCAGAACAAAAAGTCCTAGGAAAAGTAATTTTGGACACTGTGTTTTAGTGAGTCACAAGTGAAGAGAGTAATTCTGATTCACTTATTTACAGAGAAGCTAGAGTGCCAAGGTTCCCCCTCCCCTTCTTCCCATGCTGTAGCTCTTCTGTCACACACCTCCCATCAGACACTGTGCCAATCTGTCCTGGTTTAAGAATGGTACTCCCCAATTTCTGCCCTCTCAAGACTCTTCAAACCAGACACCACTCTCTTGCTCCATTTTCCCCTCCCTCTGCAGTGTGCTGGAGAGGAGAACTGAAGGCACAAAAGGCCAAGTCGCAGGCTGAGATAAGAACTATTTACTGCAAACAGCAATAAGCTACAAAAAAGAACAGTAACAGCAACAAACTTCCCGATAACAGAAATTTTGAATAATACTTCTAAAACCAAGATCTTTCAATACAGTGGACACAGATAGGCCTGTAGCCTCAATTACGTCAAGGATACTCTGCTGCCCAAATTAACTCTGGATCACAGCCTGAGTTTCCACACTTTTGTATCTTCTGTTAAGTATTTATGTTGGGACACTAATCACCATAGAAACTGTCCCAGGAACTCATTTCACAGTCAGACAACTCCACTGACTAACAGTGGCCTGCAGAAACAAGAATGCGCGGTTCTCTACTGCACTGATGGCTCATCTACCTATTCAAAGGAACAATTACAATACCTCCTCCCCTTTAACACCTAAAGCCTCCCGGATGCCAGCTCATATTTTGTAGTGGGTTATTTTATTTTGAATGCATGAATATCAAAGCCTGGAATACCAGCTTCACTAGCAAAGGTCATTTCCAGGATGCTGTTAAGAAAAACACCCAGTGAAAGCAGACATCAAATTGTTGAATTTTACTTATTTAATAGTTAACTTAATAATCAGGACTTTATTTTAGGTCTTCAACATTCTGTTGTAACCTGCATTTCCAAATGCTTAACAGTTATGGCAAACACTCTATTAAACATTTTTATGGCTTTGTGTTGAAAAGCAATTGACTGTACAATCACTTCAGTGCAGCTGACCCCTTGTTTAAACCTCCTGGGTTTAAACTTGCTTGTCAAATATGCAGCACTGTTTTATCTATCACCAAAAATGTAAGAAGTTTTACTTAGAAAAAAAAAACACACAAGAAGATATATATTGCTTAGTTTTACTTCTGCAAGCTCACTAGGCTCACTGTTTCAGGAAGACCTGGAATTCTGTTAGTCTCCGTACTAAGAGATTTGCTACAAAAACCTTATAATTTGAGCACTACAAAATGAAATGCTACTATATTTATTTATTAATTTTGAGAGAAAGTATTTACTCAACAATAATATATTCATAGAATCGTATTATTTATATTAATTTCAGGTTTATTTTTACAAAACAAATGATTGCAAACCATTCTTTTTCTACAGATCACCTGAATTAATTTTAAAAAAATGCATTTCAACAGGGAAATGGGATAATACCTACATCTGTGGTAAAGTAAAATTATTTACCAAAAGCAAATTCCAATTTTTGGAAAAAAGTAACCCCAACCTCTAAAAACACAACAGTCACAGAGTAAGTCCAGGATAACCTAGAAAAACTACCTGCACTTCTGATGCTGCATTAACTCATAGAATAGAAAAAAAAAATTAAACCTACAATTGAGAAGAGTAGGTTATTTGGAGAAAGTGACCACTATGAAAGACTTTGGAAAGAAAACCGTGCATTTCAAATCTATCAAACATTTGTATAAGTTTTAAGAACCGAAGTTCTCAATTACCATTTTTTTGAGGGTTTTCCTCTTTGACAATTTCGGAATTCTTGAAAGCCAGATGTTTCAATAAAGATACATAAAATACTTCTGTAGAATTAAGATTCAGTCATGCTTGAAAGGTGCCGTTGCCGTCTCTTAAACTGCTTTATGTTCCATTTGTACGTCTCCAGCATAAAAGGTCCATTGTAGACAAACAGCACAGTCATCTTGTCATTGTAAGTGAGATTCTGCAGGAGCTGGTGAAAAACACAGAAACCAAAGACAAAATAGCTAGATGTTCCCCATTATCGAAAAAAACTGAGTAAGATCTATGAAAAACCTTAGATCTCAAAAATATCACTATACTAGGATTACAACCTGAGAAGTGAAGTGTATTTGTTCCTAGAAACCCCCTCAAAGGGACTCATTCTTCATCCAATTTCCATGCATCACTATTCTTATTAGAAGAAAATTTTCGTATCTAATCCGTACCTTCTTGCAGCCATCGATCTCATTGCTTTTTTGCTGTATCCAGAGAATAACTCCACTCCTCTGTGGGCACAGAATAATGTTTTTCCTTTTTTTTCCCCAGGGCAGGACAGAAGACAGTAATTATACCCAAGTAAATCTATGTCTCTCTTGTGCTTCTCTGAGTTAAGCAATTTCCATTAGTGGAAACTCAGAGCAGTCAAAATTACTTAGAAGTTGCACTGCTACCTTCTGGAGTAATTTCAGCACCTGTACTACTTTTCTGAAGTGTAACAGCCAAAGTTGGATACTAATGATAATCCAAATCACGTCAAATACAAGCCCAACAGACAAAGATGACATGCAAACCATAGATTATAAGCAGTGCTCAGGACGACATTGAATAATTTACCTGCAACTGATGTTCAACTTGTCACTTCCATCTCCCTAGTCATTTAGGCATTACACCAGATGTAATTTCCCAAATTTTATGTTTGTACTGAAATGAATCCTGTTTTCGATAAAATTTCCCTAACTTAAGATTATTTAGAATTTCACTTTACAGGAAAAAAAGGATTAACTCCCAACATGGAAGTTATTTGTATGTTTAATAAATGTAATCTGTTTCACCAGATTTGTATTAAAATACTAATTTTCAAACTCACTTCTAAGAACATATTCAGTTCATCTACTCATTATGACAGCAAATCACAACTACTCAAAATACAGTATTCCTAATCAACTTTACTGCATATTAATTTATACCCCTTTCCTCTGCAGCTTGCTTAAAAATACAACCAGGGGAGGTGTCAACACACTGAAAAAGAGTCAAAGTGTTTCCTATATGCACTGGGTACACACATGGAGCTTGGCTTAGTACAACAAACTGTCAGACTCTCTAGTAAGTGGTGACATATAGCAGGGGCTCAGGAACTGCAGGTAAGCCATGAACAGCAGAGTCTGGCCTTCTCAGCCCAACCTGTGCAGCCTTTTTAATTATCCTCTAATGCAGCCCATACAAACACTCTCAATCAACCAAACCTTTACACAATGTGCTCTCTCACTGAATTTTCTTGTGACAAGCCATTGCAACTTGCCATGTCACCTGCTTGTGGGGGGAAGAGGGAAGGGGTGCCAAGAATATCTTCAGCCACCTCTTCATAACCCTGTCTCCTGCTGCTGAATAATGCTGCAACATAGTCCTCGAGTTTCCTCTTACCATGATGTTGACTTTTCTGGTTTTTGAAGTTTGGAGACTTCTAAAATCCTGATTTTAATTTTAATTTTGATCTTTCTGCATACTCAATTTTTCCCTGTCTCTATTCTTAGTAATTTGACAACAGACTCAATTTTTACACAGACTCTGGACCCCAGACAGCAATTTTCTACAACTCCTTAAATTTGGGAAGCATTAGAGTTAGTTGAGCTATCTGTCTTGCAACATCCAAATCATTCTGTTCTTTCCCTAAGTAGGAGAGCACATGGAAAACCTGATTCAATAAGGAGAGGAATCACAAGAAGACAAAAGGGAATAGAAAACACAAAACAACAGAACAGATAACACAGAACAACAAAGAAGTAATGTGGTCAGGAAATGACCACACTGTATGGAAGCAAGCACACTGCAAGATGAAAAGGAACAAGAAGCATTACCTTCCATCTCCTTCAAGTAAGGTAAAAGCTATGAGGTGGCCTTACTCAGACCCTTCAATTGATATTTACTGAAGAAACAGGACATATCAGCCAGATTTTCTAAAATACAGTGTATATAGATACAGGAGTGACATCTTAACGAAAACCAGAACACTTAGCGATTGCTTGTTTCCCTGGTGTGCAAGTAATACTTACTGTTTAAATTTTTCTTGGATCAAGCTCAACATTAGTCTCTGTTAATGGTGCAGGTGGACAGCCACCCTATTTACCCATTTAAAGACTTGGCACTGCATCACTGCATGACTAGTAAGTCAACTGCCTTTTTTTTAATTTTGACCAAAGAGTACAATTGAACTGGTCACATTCAGCGCACTAATCTCCTCTTTTCTGAGTCTCTAAATCTCAGATTAATACAGGAAAACTATTCAAGTAATCATGTGGGACTCTTCTAGCTCTGATGTCAGCAGCACTAGCCTGCTCCTACTCCAGTATCATCATCTGACTTGTCTGGAAATTAGTCTCTGCTACAGTGTGAATTTTGTGTTAGCTAGAGGCATTACCTTTTACAGCCTTTTCAATGGTAACCCTGTCCACTGGTGGCTAACACATGATACTTCCAGTGGGGCCACAAATCCAGAGCAGGTTTCTGAGGAGATGAGCCTTGGTCTAAGTTGTCTGAATTTTTGCCTGACTGTCCTTAAAATGGACAAATACTCTCTTTAATCAAAATTTCATAGGTAAAATACAGGTAAGTTATACAGTGTTTACTGGTGTATTATTACACCAAATCCCATTCTCCTATACTTGAAACTTCCTATTTCATTTTCTGCCACACACCTTTGGTGTAATGAGGAAGTACTGAGATGTTCTTTTTTTACAAGCAGTTTCCACAACCATTTCAAAAACTCTTCTCTCATTCATTGGATCCATTCCCTGAAAAGAAAAAAAAAAGTCTGTTCTCTCCACTATGTCATAAGCATCTGTACACAGGAAGAGCAATACCATACTGTTGATTCTCACCTGATTTATTTCATCAACAACCCTGAAAGGACATCTGTTGAGTTCTTGCAGAGCCATCAGGTATAACATAGTGGAAACAGTTTTCTCACCTCCACTATGATGATACGGAGTCAATTCATGAAGTTCAGTGCTACTGTGGAATTTGACTCTAATGCGAATTCCATACTTCTCATACTCCTCCTGTGAAAGCCAGTACCTTTTAAACTCATTTTCTTTTTATAATAGCTTATTTTATAACGACAGGCAAACTAAAGGACATTTATACAAATGTACATGGGTCAACCAACTACTCAGGTTCAACTTAAAATCAATATATTAACTCTGGTTCATCTATATATATTAATCCTGTTTCATCTGTTTTCCTTCACTCTTGTCTACTTTTGCTATAGAATTTCCAATACCATTCCCTTTCCTATGATTTGTTAATTGCTGTTAAGAAAGGATTTATATACAGTAAGAACATCAACAGGAAAATAAAAATCTTGGCTAGAATAAGAAGAAAGCATGCCCTTATAAATCCCATTAATCAGAAAAAAAAAAAGCCTTAGGATACTATCAATTTTAACAGTGGAGTAATGGTGTTTGCGTACATTGTGTACCAATCTGAACCTCTTCAAGTGCAAGCAGCTCAAAATCCATCAGGACAGCCATTTTCATTTCATACTTCAATGGGAAAACCACACACAAGGATTCCAATGCTGGCTTTTCTTTAACAGGAAAGTGAAACTTGTCAGCAGCCTCAGCTGACACACCTTTTGCTTTTAAATAGCTTTATTGCTCCTTCTGTGTTTTCTCTTTCAACAAACTTTTATCTAAAAGACAGTTTTTGTGTACTATAGATTTGTCAAAGTAACTATCAAAAGACCTTAAAAGTCTATGTTTTAATGTTCTACTTTTTCATATTGCTAGTTTCCAGGTAAATGTTTTTATGCAGTTCATATAAAGAGCCATACCAGTCACTCTTCTGCCCTGAGTAGTAACTGCCACTGCTATTTTCAGAAAAGGTGCTTGAGTAATTTACAAGAAAAAAATATAAGCCAGAAAAAAATTGTGTCAACTTTCACTATTATGTAGTCTATGCGTTAACATATGAAAGTCTTGACATCATAATTTCAGTGATCAATTTAAAACAAACTATCAAATTTCCCTCTCCAGTTCATTGCACTGAATACTTCTCTACAAGTTCTACTGATGCTTTAAACTCTTCACCAGAGGTAAACCCTACCTACAGAAGTTACTGAGAAGGTAACAGGATGGGCCAAATGACAGTTGCTTTTTCAGAACTGATCAAATGCCCTCAGACTTCAGTAGAAACTACAAGCAGAACCAAATCAATTCAACACCTAATAACTGAACATTTGGATGATAATAGAGGATAAAAATTAGCTGAAAATTCAGAATTAAATAATGAGCTTAATAAATCTGAGTGACAGCTAAGTAAATACAATGTTTCTAACCAAGCTTTGTAAGTTGCAGGCCTATTCCAAAAGCCAGGAGGTGAAGTCCTAGTCATCTGGATAAAGACTCACTTGCCTTCAATCAGACTGATAAGTCAGTTCTAATAAACTGAAAATATTGAGTAAAAGTTCAATGCTTTTAAAAAAAACATCTCCACCTGACAACTTGTTATTTCTCTCTGGCAATATATAACCAAATCATTATGCAAAAAAATATGAATGTTATATGAAAAAAATCAATCATACCTCATTTTCCATATGAAGATCAACTTCACCAACACACTGCATAGAGCTAAAGAACTTACTGAACTTTCCATTAATTTGTTCAATCATCACTTTCAAGAGGTTTAGCCACTTTTCTTTGACCTAAAAGCAGACATATCCATGTAAAATCAATTTAAGATCTGAATTTTCCCTCAGAGATAGCATTTACACTGAAAAAACATCATAATTAGCATCTCAGTTTACACTCAATCTGAAATGTTACCATTTATTTCTGTACATACATTCCTACAATGGCATAGAATTATAATAATGATACAGAAGTAACTTGAGTATTACCTGTGAAATGTTTTGCTTATAGTTATTCAACTCATTTTTTTTTTCCTCTAGATATTCTGTTAACTGTTGTATTTCTTGTGTTTGCTTATTGTATTCTTCAACAACCTGCCAGAATAAAAAACAAGCAGTCCGCAAAATATCTACTAATTGTAACCCTGACTGTACATTACCACACTGCATCGGTACTGTTCAAACACAATTACACGGACTACTGCACTGCACACTAAACAAGACAGATTTCTAACTTTAAAGCAAGGAAACAGTAAAGCTTTGTTTCTCTCATATTATCGCAACATGTTTTTTTTTTGTTTGAAGAACCTACTTTAAAACTGAGTAGATGCAGAATCTGGCAATTACAGCACATTGTTCCTACTATCTAGCTTATTATACCAAGAGATCTAGCACAGAGTGGGAAACAAGTACAATGTGTGTAGAGGGGGAGGGAAAGCAATGAACATACCGAAGCACTGATGCCTGTGAAACAGGAAGCCCTGGTTTTCTCTTCATTCAGAAAAGCATCAATTTCTTCCAATGTGTTTGGAAGAGTCTGAAACGCCTACAAGACAAAGGATTGCACATGTTACAAAGCAATACTAATGAAGGGCTTAAGTTTTCTTAAAAAAAAAAATATAAAAAAACCATAAACTATTTTGTTACTTTTAATCAGGGTGTCACATGCTCAAAATTTAAAAGAGCAAAATTCCCCCACTAACTATTCTGGACAGAGAAAGAAGGTTGGAAGTGCTTTTACATAATTAAGATACATAATCAGTTATGTATCACAACTTAGTTGCCTAAGTTGTGCAGGCACAGATACTCAGAAATTCAGTGTAAGACATGGACTATGCTAGATAAGACATGCAAATTAATACTTCTAAGAGGCTGGGTACAGACCTCAATTCTTTGGTGTTGCTCCCTTAGAGCAGGAAGGTAGAAAAATATGGCATCTATTTATTTCTGTGAACACGAGACTGTGGATTTCAATTGAAATCACAGGTCTAATTTTCTCTCCTCTGTGCACATAACAAAGTGGTAGTCAAAGGATATCTCAAGTGGTTTAAAAGGCTAACCACAGTAAAAGAAGTACATATAATCCTTTACTGGGAGCCTTCTAATAAAAAAAAAATGCATTATTCTTTCCAGGAGAAGTTAGAAATTCAAGATATGTAAAATTTTCTTTTTGTACATACAACTTTAAATTCTTCTGGAAAACCTTGATCCGGACCCAATCTGCAGACTTGTCGAGCCTGTTTCATCAATTCCATGCACTTCTCATAAAGAAGTTGCTTCCTATTATCCAGTTCATGAAAACGTCGCTGTTAGAAATATTAAATATTTTTAAAAATCACCACCATCTTTTTTTTAAAATATTATTGTGAATTTCCAGGGCTAACTCTAGCACACTAACAATAAACCACATCTGAATCAGAAAAAGTAGGTGAAACCGGACTATTAAAATACCAAAACAATTTGCTTCAACTAACAAAACTCATTATACATCTCTGCTCATCAAGTCAACAGATGCCAAGGTAAACTGATCAAAAGCGAGTTCTTCAGAAATATCTAAATTTCTTTTCTCTCACCTTAACAAGTGTGCATGCAGATTCAAGCATTATCTTCCCAAATTTTACTGTTGTGTACTTCAGCTAAATAAAGGAGCCCTCCAGTGGTGAAAAAATTTCAGTTTTCATTTGAAATCATACAGTTCACAGTTTTAAAAATAGGACACAGACATTGATAGTCACAGTCATTGTCATTACTTTCTGGAAGTGTAACTGATTGTTATTAACTAAATACAACAGAAGCAGCAGTAAAGATCATTAGTAATCTTGTCACACTCACAAGAGTTAGTAACCTGTTCTCAGCAGCTATCAACTCAAAAAAAACCGGTTCTTCCCTCCCTCTCCACTAAGCACTATGAAAAAAGATCTTTGCATTACAGATAAGCATTTCACAATCTCCACAAATACACTGTAAAAATATTTTTCTATACTGAATTGGTGTTTTCAGAAAGGTTGGAAAATTTTTAGAAGAGGCTTTTTTAGACCACCCCTACTTCTATTGCAGAGGAGGGAAATGGAGTACTGGCATTACAGCTGTACAGATAAAACAGTAAAGGGAGGATGTCTCCCCTTTTCTTTCCAGCCAAGATCTCAAGCTATACTGAATTAGCATAAATGCTATTGTACAGCACAATAGTTACCTTCCACTGGATATCTACAGATGCCCTGTAATAGTTTTTTTGATCCCACAAATATAAAAGTCAAATGGCTTCACCTGAAATATTTTGACATGATAATGAAGGCAAAAGATACTGTGAGAGGCACCCATTTTTTTTTTCTACAAGAAGAATAAATTTTTGTGTTTGATCATTTCCAGAGCCCAAATCAATTCTGAATCAACTGAGGTGGGGAATCTTAATTCTCAATTGTATATAGAGCTCTCACTCGAAGGGAGGTCTGCAGAGCTGCATGAAACAAACGTTCAAGTTGATCTGTAGGCACTTAAAATCTGAAACAGATTCAATATTCAACAGATTGAATATGCCTGATCCAAGCTACGGTAAGTAAAATTCTTCAGTAAAGAGGAAAACATATAGTTGGCAGGAGAAACTTCTGTATGTCACATTAAAACTAGAAAGCAATAGATATTTGATGTTACTATCAAGCATGTACTAGAATAAATGCACTGACAGTTCAACAAGTCAATTTTCAATTTTCCCTCAAGTTTGCCAGTTTAATGTCAATGCCCACACGCAAAATAAAATTTAGACAAATATAAATATACAACCTTTGATTCCTTATTTCTTCTATATATTAGAAAGTACGTGGCAGTGTTAATGCTCATGTTGGTTTAATGAGGGGGCCTGAATGGGACTCCACTTGACTCATACACATCTTTTACTAGGAAGGAGGCAATTTTAAAAAATTGTCAGAATGCTACAAATAACAATTCCTGTCTACTGATCTGACCAGGCATCTGTGTACTAGTCCAAGCTTCTCCCTAAATGATGATGATGTCTGCAGAAACAACTAGAAGCATTACATGAATTTCCCAGTGACAATACACATTACTGACATGAGGTTCATGGCTTTGTTAAACTTTCTTACTCGTTACTGAGCACCAGCAATTAAATGATTTTCATTGAACTTTGATAAACTGAGTAAAAGATGCATCATGGGTAAGAACTTCTACAACAGTGGTTTCCTAAGTAACATGCTGGACTTCATCTGTGTGTTAAGCTACATTCTGCTCTTCTTAAAAAGTTCTCATGTGCCTAATTTTCCTGTAAGTGATGGTAACTATAACTCGAGTGGTTTTCTAACTACATGCTAAGACCATTCTTTTTGCAAGCACCTGTCCATGTAAAAAAACTATCTACTACCTTTCAAACTGCTTTCCAATTTTTACTTTCATCTTTATGATCAAATTGAATTACTAGCTTACAGTTGACGGAACTCTTGAAAGACAAGGAAAAATCCCCAACTTACCACCCTATACTTTGACAGTTCATTGCCGAGTGCATTGAAAGATTGTACTACTATACAAATACAAAAATTGACCCTTGAAGCAATCCACAAGCAATGACAGCATCCTCTACTCTTAGAAATGTGTACTTGCTGTGGAACTAGCTCCTCTGACTTTTCACCTGAACAGAGCACAGCTTCCTAATAAGACCTATCAAGAGAAGAATCATTCAGTCTCTTTTCTGTCCTCCAAAAAAGACATTTAATTACTGTATGAAGAAATGAGCTATGAAAGAATGGTAAAATAGCTCTATTATTCTGCTGCACCTTCTGGTTCATCCTGAGCTTGTGTTTCCCATGTGGGTTCGAGCTACTTGTTTATGGACAGCCTGAGAATAAAGTAATCCTTCAAGTAACACCTGGCCTTTTCACACACTTTTTACTGCAACAAAAAAATCCAGGACAAGATGACTAAGTGGCACATTTTCACAGCAGCTTAGTTGTCTTAATTGAGGATGGCAAAGCTACTATTCTGCTTTAAATGAAGAGGTCGAAGTCAAACTACAGAAATCAAGGCCAAATATTTAGCAGTGCTAACAGCCACTTCTAAACAAAGACAGAGAAGCATCCTTTTCAACAGCATAAAGGCTTCCCAGTGAGATATTTTCAAAGTAGATACCCCAATATTCATAAATATTGTTACCTGTAGAGCTCTTAGTTGTACAGTTCCTTCTTTGTACTCTGATTGTAGTCTGTTCTTCTCAGCAGTCACCCTGGTCATCTGAAAAGCCAAATTTACTTTGACGACGTTCAATGGTATGATCCTCTGCACACAGGGAAACAAAGCAGATTTTTTTTCCACCAAACTCAAAACCGATATAATCACTAGTTTAGAAACTACCTGTCCTTTTAGTCATAGCATACAATCTCATACTGTGTTCAGGTCATCAATACTGCTGTCAAATTCAATGAAAAGTGATCACCCGAATTCTTAAGGAGGTATAGTCCACATGTACTTTTACGCATCTATAGATGAATATATAATTTCCACAAAATATATATAAATACACATATGTAGATACATATACACATGCCTACTTTCAACTCGCAATTTTACATTAACCCTCCCTCTCCCACTCTCTTTCCCATCACTATCACTTTCACTATATACTATTACGTGAAATATAAAAAGGGCTAAGGCCATCTCAACTGTTACTCAGAGAGAAGAATCCAACAGGTGGATATTGGTGGACACTACACGTAACAGAGATGGAAAAAGGTCAAAAAATAAACACAAAAGACATATGCATCTTGTAATGACATTGCAGTTGACTGACAAGATGTACAACAATTCATATCTGATGTCTTAACTGGAACAGCACATGACAACTAAACAAGGCTGTATTTGGGAAATTATGTAACAGACTTTAATGATCACTAGAAACTGGTTAGAGACATTGACATTAAAATGTTTGTGTTTTTGCAAACAAGTCAGCCTCAGGAACAGTCTAGAGGCTTCAAAACCATCAACACATTTTTTACTGTCTAAAGGGTAGCTACAATTATGGGCCATTGAAAGCAACTGTTTATCATGTCTTTATGAACAACATATAAATACAAATACATCCTCTCCCTTAATGAAAGGGAGGATAAGATTTCTACTGCAGACCTAGGGGACCTACAAGATAAAATTTTGAAGGCACTAGCATTTGACTACAGTGGTGAGCCAAGGTCTGAGATCTTCACTATTTGTCACTTTAACACAAAGTTTATACAGTATGAAGTTGGGCACAGGAAAAAGTTTATTCACTTCCAATTCTCTTAAGCAATTTTAAAATAATTATCAGAAATACAGATTGAAAAAAAAACTAGAAGGAGATGAAAAAAGGAAAAAGTTAAGATTATTCAATAATTAAGAAAGCTAGCTTGAAAACACTGACAGTAACAAATGCTGCATGCCTCCTACTTAAATTACATGAACTGGAATCTTCATAAAAGTGGAACACATACCAAGTTAAAAATACTTACCTTCATGAGATGCGTCAATTCAGTAACAAGTTCTGATTTTTGTTTATTTATTTCTTTGATCTTTACATTTGCCAGCTGAAATTCCTTCTCTAGGTCAATAGCATCTTGTTCGAGCTGTCTTAAACTACGGGAGAAATCAATATTTGATTAATATTTGATTTGTGATTAAAAATAAATCATAATAAAAATACAAACATTCTTAAACTTGATGACAAACCAACAGTTAGCAAGAACAGGAATTTGTAATCATAAACATTCCAAACACATTGGAGGCATTCCCAGCCCGTGCACTTTAAACCAAAGAACAGACAACAGACAAAAAAGTAACAGTTAAAGAAACTCCACTTTTGGCTACTAACAGCAACACTGAGCAAGCATAGTCCCTTACTTCTGTAAATTTCAAATTCGAGAAAAAAAATCAGCGCAAAGAATGAACTCTTCTTCTTCTGATACCTCTTTACAACAATACAACACAGGTGAGTTCAGGAAGTTTACTTAATTCTTACATAGTCTAGCCAAAAAAATAATTGTATCCTCATCTCAGTGCAGAAAAACACGAGTTTTCACTTGTTTTAGACCTCTGAAACATGGAAAAGGAACAATGATTTTTACTGAGCTGTAAAGCATTTGGAGATCTTCCAAAACTGCTGAACAGGCCAAGAGGATGATACAGAAAACTACAAACTGGTCATTCTCGCTTCGATCCCTGGGAAAATTGTAAAACAAGTCCCTTCAGGAAGCAATTCTAGGGGCATAATGGAGGTGGTGATCATGGAGATTCATCAAGGATTTACAAAGGGCATACCATACCTCGTGAACCCAACTGTGAAACAATGAGGCGACGAAGATCAAGTGGTTGCTACTTAACATCAATTTTAGCTTTCTGTTAGGGAGGGTACCTGACAGAAACTCACCTCCACACACATAAACAAGACAACAGCAGCTGACAGAAGACCAAATAATACCCTGCACCTTGGCTACAACCAGGCGCACCACACGAGCCATGAGTCCATGAAATGCCCATCTCCACAAGCCCAGAGGAGCGCAGGGCCATGGGAGCAGATGGGAGTGCAAATTCAGGACTCAGAAAAAGGGACACCCTGTCCCAGGACAGCCTCAGTACCAGTGTCCAGGTGTGAAACCCAACAACCTAGTCAACTGGATTGTTGGACTGGGGGGGTTGCCTTCTTGCACTACAATTGAATCAGAGAATTGGTTGGGTTGGAAAAGGCCTTAAGATCACTGAGTCCAACCACTAACCCAACACTGCCAGATCCTTCACTAAACTGTGTTCCTAAGAACCACACCTACATGTCAGATTACAAACCAAAAAAGTAACTGAAATAAAACAAAAAACCACTCTTCCAGGCAATGATACAGCTCTCATGTAATTTCAGGCTCTGAAATGCAAAAGTAATATCTGAAAATACTATTTTCAAGTAAGTCTACAGGGATACTACACTGTGCTTCAAGAAGAGTGAACACATGCCTGTCTGTGACTCCATCTGTGAGACTGAACAGCAGCCCCCTATCCTAATGTAAGTCGTGGCACAACCCTTGGTGACAGCTCTCCTGGAAGAGACAGTCACACCACCTTTCCACCTTCCTTCCTCTTCAACAAACCAGTTATTCTTCACTGACTGCAGTTCACCTGGAAACCCTGTGGCTTTGTGGCTCTTTCACATTTTAGTGGGCATTTCTGTCTGCATTAGCAGTACTGTGAATGCACCAAACATGCTGCAGTATATTTGTGGGATCCTCTGAGTGACCCAAATTTCTCACTGTGGCTGAGCAGCCTCACTGCTGACCAATTACTGTCAAGGTTCACCAGGGTTACCAATTGCTCACTGAAGCTCATGAACACATGGATACCTTTCTGAAGCAGCAGAGTGTAAAAATTACATAGAGGAGACAAAACAGCATTCCTACTTACAATGTAGAAGATACCTAAAACAAAAAAGTAATTACACAACATAGCAAGTGGTCTTGTTCCTGACAATTCTGCTATTATCTCAGTGGAGATCGCCCTGTATCTCTGTTCCTAAAGGCCAAGTCCTCCAGTTTCACTAGTCATCAATTCAGTGTCAAAAGAAACGTCAGTGTGTACGGGGCAACATTAGTGTCCCTGACTGAACAGAGTCCTTCAACCTCTGCAGTCAAAAAGCCACTAGATTCCTCCTAAGCTGTTCAGCCCCCAGCCCAGACTTTGCACATCCTGTAGGATAGCATAGTGCTGAACATTGTATTACAGAACAGACATTATGGGATGCAGCAGAAAAGCATAGGACTTTTACTATTACATATTCGAGAGTGCAAAAAATGTGAGGAAAGGGAGGAACTAGGTAACTTGAAAAATAACATGTATAGGAAAACAGAGGAATATGAGGATAAGAGGGACACTTAGATGTAAATAGTGGGCTGGTTGCTACCCTTGCCCAGCCATGCCCAATTGGCACATTCTCTTTTTACTCAACTCTGTTCCTCTCTCTTTTCTTGCATTCTACTCAGCACTCATGTGTTTGGAAGTCTAAGTGCAAGCAATTGTAGTCAAATCATAAGTCAGAGGGGGGAGCCTGCTTGTCTGTGATGGCTGCACCTGCCTGGAGAGACCAGAGTGAGTATACCACAGGATGATGCGACTGTCCATGCTGCCAGCACCATGGTACAAGTGTGCAAAGGAGTGTCTGACCCCTAATAAAGACCAAGGCACACAAGACAGCAAGTGGCCCAGGAGCCAAGACAGTATGCAAGTCACTAAGGGTGATACCACAGGAAGAAATGGCTACTGGAGGGATCAGCCTGGCTGACAGAGACTGCTGCCATGTGTATGTACTTATGGGTAAGACGGCTGGAGTACTGGCGATGGGGTGCAGACCGGAGGAGTCGTGGCTACCTCTGTACATATATATTACCTCTGTATCTCTGAGACAAGGACCACAGAATGAGCTACTGGGAAACGAGGGAATTACAGCCAGTTCAGCATGCAGGCACACATGGGTGAGGGAGGCAGTCTCTACAGGCCAACAGAAGCAGGGATACAACCTCAGGGATTTGCATTTCCAGGTACAAGCAATTCAGGAGACTGAGGTCTAGGGACAGTAACTGTGCAGGTTCAGAGTGTGTGGAACCAGCCGCCAATGGGATCCACACTGCCCACAGACATGCACAGACAATGCACCAGGGTAATCCCATGCTGCTCAGACAGAGCACGAACATGAGGCAATCACTGGTGTTGCATCTGTGCAGTTGTTCTGCATGACCACTGTGCAATGTGCAACTCCACACACATATGCTGTTCAAATGTATTCTGTGCGTGTCTAGTGGCAAGTCAGGCTTAGCTTCACTACTTGGATACATAGAGAAGCATTAACCGGCATCAGCTTAATCTTCCTCTCAGTCTGCTGGATCCAGACTAATTTCTCTCATTTTTTGACTGCTGTGTCCCACACCATTCATGGATTCAAATTAGGAGACCACAGTCTGGATTAACTGAAGACTAAATAAGTAAAAAATGTGACTCTATGGTGACTCTTGGTTTGTTTTATCTTGCCCAGAAGTCAGTACCAAGGATTATGAACTGCGTCCTGTACTGTTTAAGACTCCTGCCAGTGACATGGAAGAGCAGAGAGAGGCCCTTGCTGTTAGGTTTTTAGACACTGAACTGGGAGGGAGCAATAAGCCTGCAGTTCACAGAGGTCTACTGAAGCTGGGGAAGAGGCTGACAGAAGATTAGTGAGATTCAGTAAGGACAAATGCAGAGTCCTGCCCTGGGAAGACAGTGGATCTGGCAGTAATACAGACTCAGGACAGACTGGCTGCAGCAAAGCTGCAATGAAGGACCTGAAGCCCTGGTGGACAGTGAGCTGTGCATAAAGGCAGCAACTTGGCAGCAACCAGGCTGTATGAGTAGAAGCACAGGCAAGATAAGTGATTTTTCCTCTCTGTTCAGCACTGCACACAGTTTGGACCACTGTGCTAAACATCAACAACTTGGTACAAACTCAGAGAGCAATCAAGATGGTTAGGGGCTACAGCACACACACCACAGTGCAGGATGAGGGTGCTCTGTTTGTTCACTGTAGACAAGAAACTAATAACAACAGTCCCATATCTTTCCACAACAGAAACCACTGACAGGATGGAACAAAGTTCTCTTATGAGATGCCCAGTAGAAGAACCGACAGACAGTGCTCCTAGGTTCTTCTAGGACAAGACAAGAAAGATCCAGACTGGATGTTAATGTTGTCTACACTGCCTACTGGGAGTGTGTGCTTAAATGAAATACCTGTTCAACCATGCCCTGACTTTGCCTTATGACATATGGTAACAGAAAAAAAATTGCAGAGGCCCATAAAGACAAGAGATATGTAATGAATGGTACTATGGACAACTGGAGTCCTATCCAATCCCTGACATGCTTGCTTAGTACCACTCATACACATCATGGCACTATCTAGGTATGTGCTACAAGGTCAGAACAATAACATAATATCTGAGTAAATACATGCAGTGATATTTAACTGGAATCTTATGATTTTACTACAGAAGATCATGTGGAACATTGCTACATGTCATAATTTCTAAACACCTTCCTTGTCTTGATTATCACCTGTATCTAATGCTCAACTACTGGTTACTTTTTAAGAGTAAAAGCACACTGAAGTAAGAGAAAACAAAAAAAAAAAAAATCTCTGCTTTTAAAATGATAATATACATATTAAAGATTTTTTCATAGATAACATAGCTTGTTTCCTACCTATCATACTTCACACCAATTTTTGATTCCAACTGCCTCCTCCGGTTTCCTCTCTCTAAAAGCTCCTTCTTCTCTTGCCTGAGCTTATTGTCCTTGTGATCCAGAAGTTTCTGTCTGTCGAACAGTGCAGTCAAACGTGCATCCAACGACTTTAAAGTATTACTGATGTCCTGAAATAAAAGAACATGGACCACAAGCATTCTTACTGCATACCATGCTAACATATGCTGGCTCTGCTTAATGCATGACAAAACGGCTAATAGTTCACAACATACACAGTTACTGAAATCATTTCTACCTGTCGTTGGTTTTCCAGCTGTCCTCTTTCTTCTGTATCCACTGAACTAGTGAGATACTGTGCCTCCTTCAAGCATATGTTACTAGAGAGGTTTTGTTTTGTGTAAGAAGATACTTTAATAATGTATTTTTCTTCCGCTGTATACATATGCCTCAGATTGGTTTCCTGTATGACCTAAGAAATACAGAAAATATTAATGTGACAAAAGTATTACTTAAAGCAATACTTTTCATCAGAACAAGGAATAAGTGTGATTGATAAACACAGCAGAAAAACTTCAGCTTATGCAGGACTTACTTATTAACAGTCTTTGCAAAAAAATGCTAAGTTTAATGCAGCATTACACTTGTACTTCAAACCGGTAAGCAAAGAACTGTTGAGATTCTGCTGGAGTATATTACCATAACTAATTAAACAAATCTGACTATCAAGATATTACACCAATAAAATTGTTAGCATTGGTACTGCATAGTGAACAAGGATTGTATTTGCTTCAGATATGTAACATGTTCCACAAGTATCCTCTGTAACAAAGAAACAAAGTATTCAAGAATTAATACATTAAATCATAAACTGAGCTGTAATGTATTAGTCAAACAAATGCATCTGCAGGAAAAGAGAAGGTATAAACACACCAGAGCAGTTAGTTCTAAAAGACTCATATCAAAAAGGATACTATAAATAACCAAAGATTTACTATAACTTAAAATACATAAAGAAAAAAAAGGTCCACTAAACCAGAAATGGCAAGAAGTCTCCATAGGATAAGTCACATTTGACTAAAATGTTGTTCAGTTTACATATGCAGCATCAGCTATATTCTGTCAATTAAGTTTAGTGAAAAATTAGGTTGATTAAATTTGTTAAAATGTCTTGCAATATGTTAGCCCATAATGGAAGTGTTCCCACTTCTACAAGACAAACAAAAAGGCTAAATAAAATTGCTAAAGCAATTTTTTGCATTCTCCGTATCTACTTGCCAAACAACTTCCAAAATAAAACTCCACACCCAAGGTGCATTTATGCTTCTTCAGATACTTTACCCTTTCAATCATGTCTCTGGTCTTCTGTGTTCCCACAGGAACATTATGAACATGGTACTGGTAACAAAGGTAACTCATCACAGGAGGAGGAGCATCAAATAACTCTCGTAAATATGAATAAAATCCGTATCGGCTGAAGAAGAGATAAAAAAGCATGCATCACAAATCAATTTCAGCAGGTATGCAAGGTGAAGTTACTGAAGTGGTCAGAAATAAGTCCCACTAACCCAGAACTGAACCGGTGATAATTTGATCTGCATAAAAAATTCTAATATATAGCAACAAAACAAACCCACTTCATTTAAAACTATTTCTGAATACCATCAGATACATACTGTAATTCTTCAATAGGTCTTGAAGGTAAATTTTCAGCACATGATTCAGCAGGTGCACATACAGCATTCACTCTTAGTTTCTGACGATCACGCACCTGTATTAGGATTAGATTATTTGGTAAAGACCAGAAAAATACACCATGTGCAAATAAAATTTTAATTATTGATTCACAGAATCAGAATTATTTTCAACAGATGACCTCTGGAAGAACTTACAAATTCACTCTGGCTCAGAAATAACCAAGCTCTCTAAAAGTAAATATAGTAAAGTCTATTAATGTCCCTGAAAACACTATATGCTAGAGAAAATAAAAGCAATCAAAGAAACCCAGAGCCAAGTGCTCAGTCTAAAGAGCTAATTGTATAAGCAAAGATCAGTTAAGCTGGTTAAAGCAGCCTTGAGTTCCACAACCACACAAGCAAGATAAGCCCCCAGAACTTCAGATATCACCACTACTGCTCAGGTATAAAAAAGTGGTTAGCTTCCGTGAAGAGTGGATGAGTCTTCAAAAATTGCAGAACAGTTTGTCACTAAATACACCATTGTGTTGACTGTAGTTGGGAAACACTGTGACAGTTTAATACCGTATCTTCTGTTTTTTCCCTCTTGCATCATCTGCCTGACTTTCAAAAGGAGCAATCTTCTCACTGATTCAGGAGACAGCAGAATTATGAAAATACAAGCTTAATTTGCTGCTTGGACCACTGCATGTCACAAAAGATGCTTCCTGCCTCTTTAGTCAAAGAGCAGCGGAAAATTTTGGTACTAAATTCATAGATTTCTGCTCCAGCCATTTTCTTGTACACAGTATTTTCTACTTAAGTGATTATTGCCTTAAGGAAGGAAGGAGGAAGACAATCTAAAAAATTGTTATCTTCTTAATATTCCTACATCCCTCCAGTTAGTCTAAGGTTTAAAGAATCCTTAATTCTGATAAAAATCTTTGAACACTTCACATTATCTACTTGTTATGATACAGATTTTTATCATTGTCATACAGATTTACTCAATAGACTCCCAAGTTCAGGGTTTCTACTTCAGTACTTAATAAAATTTTAAAATTGGTGCAAACTTGCCTCCACCAGAAATGTCTCCATATCTTCTTGACATTCAAAAACGAAAGCCCTCATGTCATTGGACGAAATGTGATTTTCAATGTATTTTGCGTGTCTGCTGTCTTTCATATTGATCTAATAAAGAAAGGCAATGAGCAAGTGATTTAATACAATTCAACTTACCAACCCCAAAAAACACTTTAAATAGTCAAGATGATATCCACACCCTTATTTAATGAAAACAAGAACTATGTCTTTAAAACTATGTTTCTTTGCCTTTTTTGCAACCAATTCTCTTGGGAGAAAACCTATAGTAAATCACAGATCACTGTGCTTAATTTTTAGCCATCCATATCCTTTTTCAGCACTCCTAAAGTTATCACCATCTTGCACCATACCACCTCTCCCGCTCCATCCTGACCTTACAATTGAAATCACCCCCCATCTTATGTCTAACGGCTCTGCTCCAGGACTAGTAGGGGTTTTTCAATTAGCAACAGAAAACACCACACACCCCTTAAGCTGAAGTGCCTTTGAATTCCTAAGAAAAAAGCCCCACATACTTGAAATGGATGAAGCTTTCCAAATCTGAATGAAATGTTAATGCTTGTGTTTTTTCAGTTAACTTTCACTAGTAATTAAACATTATGTCATTCTACATGAAACACAAAGTTACAGAACTACACAATTTAATAATCTCAAGTTGGCAAAAGGCTGGGTACAGTTCACAGCAATTTGAAAGCTGGAGTTTTTAAGTACATGAGACTAATTTACATGATACAAAAGTATACTGGTTTTGGCTGAGGTAGGGTTAATTTTCTCCACAGTTGTCAGACTGGGGCTGTGTTTTGGGCTTGTGCTGAACAGAGGGTTCATTATACAGAGAGGGTTGTTATTTCTGAGCACAAGCTACACAGTGCCAAGGCCTCTTCTACTCTTCATGCTGCCACAGTGGTAGGGTAGGGGTAAATGGGAGACTGGGAAGAAACAGAGACAGAACAGGTGACCCCAAACTGACAAAAGGCATATTCCAGATCATCATCCTCAGTATATAATGTGAGACGAAGGAGAAGGAAGGGGGTACACTTGGAGTGATGGCTTCCCAAATGTCACAGTTTACGAATGGTATTCTTCAATTTAGATGGCTCACTAAAACCATGCCATTGCTTGCTCGCCATGTCCCCTCCCTGCCTCCTGCTCCAGCAGGATGGAGTTGAAAACTGGAGGCAAAAAAGGTAAAAATCATGGGTTGACATAAGAATAATCTACTGGAAAGAGCAGTAAGATAAGAAAGCAACCAGTAACTGCAGCAATTTTAATAATAAAAGGTGCAAGACTAACAATTTATACCCTCAACAAATGCTGACTGCCCACTGTGACTTCTCCCAGCCTGAAAGGGATGCCATTCTCAAAAGCAAGAGTCCCTTTCCCCCACTCACCCCCAGGGAACAAATTAGGGTTTGGCCACACTCTCTCAGCCACACATCCTCTCAAGCACTACCTAAATTTAACCCTGTCCTTGGCCAAAGACAAGACACCAAGTCATTCTTGTGCATGATGGAGCCCTGCTCTCCTAGAGACAGCTGAAGACCTGTCTGTCCATGGAAATGGTGACTTAATGCCATGCTTTGCTTTTCTCATGTGCAGGATTTTTGCTTTCCCTATTAAATTGTCTTAACCTTACACCATGAGCTGCCTAAGCTTTTACTCTTCTGATTCTCTGCCCAATTCTGCAGATGGGGCAGTGAGTGAGCAGCTGCCTGGGGCTTGACTGATGGCTGGGGGTTACAGCTCAACACAGAGAAAACAAATCCACACCATCAACTGATGTCACAGAGGTTAGTGAGGCCCTAAGTAAAAGTAAAGCTATCCTTATTGAAGCATTTATAAAATTATCTTGATGTGGTCTTTCAGGAAGAATTCAAAATTCTGGTAATAACAAGAAATACTTGGGATTCTGTTCTAAACAAAAGTAACTTTGAGCAGTCCTAGTACATGTACCAAGTGTAATAATTTGTATATAAATATTCTAATATACTAATTTAAATTGTAACAATACATTACTAAGCAAGTTTGCAATTCTGAAAAGAAGTGCAACTGGAGATCTTCATCCTCTTCACATTACATGGAGCGCATATAGCAAGAGGTACAATGCACTAAAAAAAGTAATATCCTCTTTGAAAACTCAGCCCTGCTATTCCTAGATCATACAGCAGCTATCAAACCAAACCACAAAACAAAACTAGCAATTGATTTCTGTGTCTCTTAGATGGCTGGGTAGAGCAAACGAAAAAAAACACTCGGAGATCACAGAGGGAAGTAGCCACAGCTGAGCAGGTTGTAAGGGGAGATACTTAATTGGCAACTACCACTGTTTTTTTAAGCAGCAACTAACAACTACTTAAGTCTTAAGTAGCAAGATTGGATAATAACTGGTTGCACCATAGAGGAAGCCTGCAACAGGCATCTTCTTGTGGAGGAAAGGAGCCATCCCACCTTACTCAATTACTACACTGCCTATGGAAGGGAATTCTGATTATGAATATCCTTCATATACTTGGCAGTACATTCCAGATGTGTCTCAAAAGTCTTCCAGTCATTCCCAAAGCCTTGCAAGACATACATAATCTAACTGTTAGAGTGGTATGCAAGTAAATCTTCTTACTTCAAGCATCATGGGTTCACACGTTTTTTTTTTAAACTTGTCTTTGTTGTTTCTTAGCCACATAAGAGCAGAGTGTGTGTCTCGGAATCTCATTTTAAGGTTCTCTTCCTTCATATGCATTATATTGTTAAGTTGTCCAAGGCGATCAATTATTCCTGTAATTTAAGGTAGTTTCTTAAACAGAGTACACAGCAAGTTCACATTATAGCCAGCATTTTCTGGGATCTAGTGACTATACTCCTCCAAAACTAAGGTTGTTAGTAAATGGTAAGAACTAAGTTTCTCTTTTCAGAATTGAGATGCTGCTACTGCTGAAGAAATCTTTAAAACTATAAAAGCTTAAAATCTAAAATAGAATTAAAAATTAAAAACTTATCCAAAGAATAACAAAATATGGTAAGCATAGTAAAAATACAGGAATTTTGCCCTGAAAGTATGTTTTTTCAAGACCTGTTCTACCTTTGTGCTTAAAAACAAAAACATCCCCAGAGGAAAGAGACAGTAGGACTAGTAATGTGAAATATCTGTTATTTCATGCTAGAAAAAACCAAAACGTGTGACAATAGACTGTGTATGAAAGCATCTGCTATTCAGATGAAACAGATCAAAACCTGAGAATTTTGTGCTATTCAAGATAAAATACATTGTCTCCTTCCCCAGGTCACCTGGACTCCCTACCTCAGTTTCTTCTTGGATTCCATGAATCTTGGATTGCTGAACATGTGCAATGATGTGCAAATGAGCAACATTCACTGAGGAATATGTATACAACACCCTCACTACCTATCAAGCTTAAATTTTTAAATTTAATTTCATTTCTTAGAAAGGACTAATTGCAAATCCCAGACTAATGTAAAGAAACTCTGGAATTAAGGCTACCTAAAGTTCATCTAAGAAGAACAACTGCAGTATCAGCAGCTAATATACTACATGTAATATATGAAGTAGCTATAATACTGCCTCTTCAAAGCAAACTGCTTTCTCCATCAGGTTTGGGATTGCTTTTCACAACCTGCTAAATACAGACCTTCCTTTTTAACCAAAAAATCCCCCAAATCTCCAAACTGCCAAAGGAGTCTCCTTACCCAGATACCAGAAATATTGATTCTTTGAAAGACAGTTTTAAGGTCCATTGTTAATTTTGCATTTTCTTGTTCAATTTTGAAAGTGGTTGTTAATTTTAATAAAGCTGTTAAGAAAAAAGAGGACTGCCCTACATGCAAGCCAACTACAAGGCTTGAAGTAAACACCTTGAATTATTTCACTACAGCAGGACAAGGAGATTCTGTACAGGCAGATTCATTAAAATAGTAAAATAAATTGACAAAGAAAATCCGTAAGTAACTTACTTTTCCCTTCCCGCTCTTGGTTGGTTTTTTCTGCTCTTAGATCACTGATATCATTATCAATATTTGCCTTCTCTTCTTGTAAATTTTTCAGCTCAGTATTAACAGCATCAATTTGTGGCTGAAGATTCTCACCAACTGCCATTGTATCCAGCTCATTCTGCCACTCCTCTATTATTTTTTGAGTTTGGTATATTTTCTTCTGCCTGTTTGTTTCTTCATCTTTTTTCATTCTGAATGCTTGATTAATTTCTTCAATCTAGAAATTTTGAGTATTTCCAACAAGAAATTAGTTTGGTGTACAGAACCTACAACGAATACCTAGGATACCCATGCAACTGCTGTTAAATGCTGACATAACCATGCACCCAAACCCCAAGAGTCTGTAACAGTTCTAACAGCACTATGACACAGTTCCAACAGCACTATGGCAGTTGAAGAACATAAGCAAAAAATACACTCAAGCCTACAAATCAATTTTGGAAGTTCCTTCTTTTTCACAAAAGCAGAACCATAAAGGTTAAAAAACTAATTAACAGTTGCTTAATACATCTGAAGTTTAGTCTATGATTAAGTAAAATCTATAGCCCAAACACAACTTGGAAGTTTTGACTTTGCATCCTTATACATTTAATTTACTACACATTTCTTGACCAAGTGCTTAGATGAGACAGTTTTACATCCTTGCAAGGGTGTTTCTTTTACAAGATGCAAGATGTATATCCTTAGAAGCAATAACCCCAGCCTCTCACACTATAGAGGTTGTAGCTTTTCAAGGAAAGCCTATCACAAACAGCATGTGTGTATATGTCTCTGTCTATTGATATATACACACACACATATTCGGCAACATAATTTATGCAGTATACACCTCTCTCTTAGTAATTCCTGTTTGACTGATAGAGTTCTAAAGATACATGATGTACTGGAGGGAGTGAAGAGCACTTGCAGCATCTTTACAGAAATGTGCCCCTCTGCTAATAGAAGAGCAGACAAAAAAACCAAAAACAAACACCAAGAAAAGTCAGACAGCAAGACTCTTACCTGTTTATCTTTCATCTCCAAAGCATCTTGTTTCTCTTTACATTTCTGGGAAATATTTCTGATTTCAGCAGTCTGCATACAGCAAGATATTTAAATTTATAGTCATAAATTCAGTTATATTTGTAAAAAGTAGTTAGATTTTGAGTAACATCTTGTACATGCATAACTAAGTATTTACTCCCCATTTTACTACTGACAAAGCCGTACTCTCCCATTTCTTATTCTTACCTATATCTGTAGCATGTATAATTTCAGCAGTTTGTGAAGATTTGCATAACAGCATTTGTACTGTACTGTTCACAACCATCCAGCTATAGGTCTGCAAATTCTGGCATGACATATAGAGGAAGCTCCTAATCTGAAATTAAAATACCTCCATCCTTGATTTCAATACAAATATTACATTCAGATGCCTACAATTATAAAATGTTCTTGCCTCTTTCTCCAAACCAATTTTGCAAAGAAAGGTAATACTAAAGAGCAAGCAAGGCTTAAGCTCCTAGGCACAGGATGGCCAAACCAGGTTTTGTCCAAGTCATCCTACCACTGAAATGCATTGTGGTAGAGCTAGATCCTACACAACTGAGCTTGACAACTTGTTGGGTCATGTGCAGGCATCCATGTCCCCCCTCCTTTGCTATCCTTAGCTTCTATAAAATGGAAGAACAATACAGGTTGGAGGGTATTTCTTGGCATCACCCAGTTCCATCCTTTCTCAGAGCATGTTTTATTAGGTCCAGTTGCCCAGACACTCACACAGCTGAGTTCTGAACACAGGGGAAGTACAATATCCTTTCTCTGAAAACTCAATTCCTCCCTCCCTAAACCCTCAAGGCTGAAGCACTGTGAAGAGAATACTGGAGCACTGCAGAAGAATGGAAAGACTGCAAGTAAATTCCAGTGCAGACACGGAAACCAACACAGCACTCTCAGCAAAAGAAACATCTTCCTACGAAAAGTCATACTGAGAACACTAAGATGCATCAAAACTGGAGAAAATAAAACTATGCAGAATTTTTTTCCCTACCACAACCTCAAAAAAACCCAAAAATTTTAAGACTCAGGAAGACAGTTTGCATAAAGCCAATGCAGAAGAAATACATCTGGGTCTTGCAGTTGACTGCTATGAAGTACTGATTCTGTGATGCTCTTTCCAAAGAGCTCAAGGAGGCAGCCTGAAGAGGAAGCTCTCTCTAGGAAACTGATGCACAATGTTCACAAAACAGTTCTGAAGGCTCTTAAAATTAGGGCACTACAAAGGCACTGGAATTCTGTTTTTCATTTACCATTGTATTTTCAGTTTTATGTTTCTAGATAGACCAACTACAGAACAGACAAACAGCTATCTTTATGATTTTCATTGTACAACTAAAAAAGACTGCTTTACACCATTAAAAATTGCTAAAAACCCGCACTGCACAGTTAACTCTGTGCAAATACCTTTAAAGAGCCTGAAGAAACTGTTCTGAAAATACACCATTTCAAACTTTTCCTATAAAATGGGTCCATTTCTTTTTTCCACATTCTACATGATACCACTCAAACCACCAAGTGTCACTAAAAAATTTTATTCTAATCCAGAAACTGAAAGGGTTTTAACACGAAGAGACAGGAGAAAAAGTCACGCGATGTCTGGATATATTCATTAATATAATTCCCAGATTTACTCCGCCTTTCCTTGCTGTTCAGCTCCTTCCAGACAAAACTACAACTTCCATACTGGGCTTTTTGCCAACAAACTTCAAGAAAGATGTGGTAATTTCTGCTCTCACATGTCAAGAGAAAGATCTCAAGAAGCAGTCAGAATTAAAGTCATTTGATAATGGATACAAGCATGGAGCAAAGGATTTGAAGAGAATTATATTCCCTGCAGGTCTCTGTATCCAGAATAGAGCAGACTTAAATATTAAACTGCTTTCCCTTAATGCCAAATTGAAACTAATCAACTCCTTCTGGCTTACAGAATATTTACCTGTGAAATTCTTGCCGAATGCCTGCATTTGTATAAAGACAGAATTGTAAGTTACAAAAAATTCAAGCAGTCAATGAAAAGGCGAGGAATCATGACATAGCAGCTTAAGCCATTTTAAGCTACTTAAGTCTTGTACTTTCATATTACATCAACAATATCTCCTGACAGTGCAACTAGCACTGATTCTCCTTTCCAAGGACATTTCAACAGCCCAGCTCTGAAAGAATGTGTGAGGAAAATCGATTTCAGCAGCTGAAAAAAAGGTACTGTCATAAAAGTTCAGAAAGCAGCAATACATCTCTCAAATCTTCTTAACTTGCCTGGTATCTTGCAAATAGCTCATGCCATAACCACATATATAATACACTCCCTTATGTCTTTTTCCGCAATTCTGGACTCTGAGCTCAGGACAAAATAATAATCAATCAATTTAGATTTGAACATATCATTTAACATCAGAAAAAAAAGGTTTGGAAATGTCTTAGTGTAACAACTATATACAGAGTAGTATTAGTTATGAATAAAATACAAAACTGTAACTCATCGCTGGAAAGTCGTATTAGAGTATCTCAGTAAGTATTCTATAAATAACTTATTTCCAATTTATCCCCTTTCCTTCTTCCTGTATTTTTGGCTACTGGAATACTGTAGAACAAATGTACCTAGTCCAATTTCCAGACGTAAATTAAGCAACACTTCAGCACACAGTTAACCTTTTGAATATACAGTATATGAAAGCTTTACTCAACAAGTTGAGATTAAAAAGAAAAATATGATGATACAAGAGTATAAATTAATCATCTCGAACACTCTCTCAGGTTTTCTTCCACTGTTTTGTAGGAAGTGCCTATGCTGAGCAATCTTCCCACAAGTCAAAACTAAAATTTTCACTGTCTGTCCTAGGTTTCTCATAGAAACAAAGTACAACCTTGAACAAAAAAGAATGCTTTTATACGGATACAGCCCAACACCTCCAGGAACAGTGGTACCAATGATTAAGTAGAACTGTTGCCAGCTTCAAAAAGGCACAGTAGCTTGATACATACGAGTAAAACCTACATGGTAAGACCAAGCAGCGAGAACAAAGTTTAGAAATTCACAAGCATGAAGGCATTGTTGCATTAGGAAAATTACCTTCAATTTTCCAGATGTTACCTTTTCTCTAAGAAAGTATACTTACCTTTAAACAACAAAAACCTTCAAAACAAAAAGCCCAGCCAGACCAAAAAAAAGCAACTGCAGTAAGACTGCAACATTTTGGAGCATGCAGGCATTTTGCCCCACAGCATAGTAAACTCTTACAATACAGTAGAACACAAAACCTAAATATTTTACCAAAGAATTTTCTTATAATTATGAGGTACTTGAGTACTTTGTAATGTTGGTGTAGCGTTTATCACAACAAAAACAACAATGTTGTGAACAACAATCTGAAGGAGTTTTTTGTCTGATGTCTCCGGTCTGGTTTTGGGTTTGTTTTTTCTTTGGGACAAGGGTGTGTGTTTTGGCTTTTTTTTTTTTTTTTCTGAGGAAGCACACGACTAGTTTATTGGCTTACAGTGTATTAAATGACACTGAAATTTCAGACCCACATTCTACGAAGATGCTTCAAGGCAGCAGTGCTCTACAGGTGTCACACGTCTCCACATCAACTCCTCTAAGCAGGTCACTTACCTTCAAACAGAACTCACTGCAGCAAACAAACATTCTCATGTGATCATTCAGCTTTGCTTATCCACTACAAATTTGTGCAGCTTACACACACAATGACTTCTGCAGTCTGAATAGTAAACACTAGTCAAAATTGTGCAGGAAATTACAGTACTCTTATTTTTCACATGGAAATAATATTTTTCCATAAACCCAGGAAGAGCAGCTGTTCAAAAAACTTACATAAACTGTAACATATAAGTAGGTTTACCATTAAATTCCCTTATGCATAAAAATATTCACAACTGATGGAAGATTACTGTCTAATTAAAAAATCAAGTCCTCCTTATGCAGTTATGTTCAGTATTAGAGGAATGCTTTTAGGCCAGTAAAGTTGTAATTTACCTTAAATAAACTACAGTTTAAGAAGATAAGAGGAGTGAACATCCCACAAACCCAAACCACAGAACAAATGAAAACAGGCATCTAATTCAATGGTAGTACTTAACTTGGGGAAACTATTAACATTATATCCCAGCAGATTTTTAATGTACAATGAAGAGAAATTTTAAGATTTGCTTTTACAAAACCAAGAGCAGACTGAAGAACTGCTACTAAAAGTTTAGTAAGAACACACTCCTTGAACTGACACGGAAAAGGCAATGAGAACTAAGGGCACAGGTGCTTCAAGAAAATTTCTGCTGAAACATCATTATGACACACCAGGAAAAAAGAGGTTATTACATTACATTTTACAAAGCTGAACACAAAGCACATTAAATATTACCTATGTTAAACAAGAACTTCAATACCTACAATATCTCTTGTTTGCATATCCAGGTTGTTTAAGTTTTCTTCAGCTTCTTGGATTCTTCTTGTCCATGGGGCCTGCATTTCTTTCAGATTCTTCAATTCTTTCTTAGCTTGGTTTCGGCACTGTTTCACTTCTTCATGCTGTTCACGAACATTTTCATATTCCTTGAAGGAGTTGAAACAATAAAAAACAATTTAAAAATTGCTGTATTCTACTGCAGTGTTTTATACCATCCAAAGATTTTATTTAACTGATCATGAGTTTTATAAAAATATCTCTTTCAGAAACTAGTATCAGAGTAACTACATAATTAATACTGTTACTAGTTCCAATGACAAAGAGTTGTAGGGATCATTCTGTCCCCAGTGAACAAGGACACATTATTAATACTTCTTAAATAATATGCAATTTTATAATATGCAAGTAGCAGAAGAAACAACCAATTTGTCTGCAATTACCTTGTCTACAAGCTCATCTAGGATCATGGAAAAAACTCCTCAGCCCCTCTCTATTCGTAGTTTGAGACTACTTACGCAGAAGTCTAAAAGCTAAGGAACAAATAACCACAGAAAATATCAGGAGAAAGAAAAGGAAAGGAGCTGAACAGATCATCAGAGCAAGTTAACAGACACAACCACTGCTGAAGTAAACCAAGGGGATAGAATGGAACATACTTTTGGAAAACAAAAACTCCACCACATACCACAAACACCAAAGCCATCGTTATCTAGGAAGTTTAACTCAAGCTCATGAGAGAAAAGAGATGGTAAGCAGCAGGGTGACCAAAAACCTCCACTTCAAGAAGATGGGAATTTTGTAGATAAAGTAGTTTAAGCTGAGGGAGTTATTAGTAGTGATTTTTCTGTGTGTGTGGTTACACTCTCTGGAAAGAAAAAATATTAAAAAAGGAAGGAACAAAAAGAAGGGGAACCTCTCCCCAGCCCCTCCAAACTAAGAAAAATAAGAGAACAATACATTCCATGACTATGAGGGGTTCATGAGAAAAAAATAAGACGTTCAGAAGTCCACAGAGAGGAGTAGATTCATGTATGCAGGGGGACAGAGGAAGGGAAGGCTGTTTGACTTTGTATGCGCCAAAAAAAGCCCCTAATTCAGAACATATGCCTAGTTTATTCTAAGCCCTGGAGGTTATTATTACAACAACAGTAACAGGAATAGTAATAATAATAATAATGTCACATAAAGACCACCTGGAAGCTACTTTTAACAGGTGAATTGGCTTTATGTGCTACCACTTTTTCATAGTTACTTAACTAACCGGATGAATCACAGATAAATCAACCCAGGCTACAAAATCCAAGGTCTTTCTTCACAGTATCTTTTTCATAAAGTCAAAAAGCATTTGATGAAAGCTGCTGTAATTCTGTGGACTACAGTCGGTAGCCACTGTTACAAAATTACAGAGATAAAGGGATTCTATTTTCACTTATCTGAAAGCTTAAAATTTAGCTCTGCTCTAAATAAGGCATTTTATTTCAAGATTAAAGCACACACGAACAATTACACTTCAGATTCCACAGATAGAAAGTACAGGCAAGTTCCACAGAACTGTCATTATATGATTTTTACACAGCAAATCCTTTTAATACTTTAAGAAAATCTGACTTAACCAAAAAACAGAGATCTTGTGTACTCAAGTAACTTTGATGCTTCTAATTATGCACTCCACTGAAGACCTGCAGAACTTCCAAAGCATTTCAGATTTCTCAAGAGATATCTGCATCTTAAAACAATGTTTTTCTTAAATGTAAATGTGAGGGGAGGAAAAGAAGAATGGATATAGCTTGACCAAAACACATTTTCAAAACTACAGGACATGACTCCAGGACCTATGGAATTCTATGGAACTTAAAGCATATGTTCAAAAACTTATTAGACATAGATATATGTGGAAATGGTGTATAATTCTCCACATATATAAGCAGTTGTCTCTGTCTAGAAATCACTTGACAAAAAATGTTCCTCAGGTAAAAAGCAGTAGAGTCTTCAGAATTAAAATGCACTTCAACAGTGATCAGAACATGAACAAGCTCATCACCAGACTTCCTCTTCTATGATTAAAAAATAGTCTAATGTCATATTTAAGATATCATATTTCCAGGCTGTCTCTCTATTTCACAACATCATGCAGTGTTTGTACATCTGCTTTCCAGCTGACTTGAAAGCTCAGGTGTAGCTACTCTGCTTTGTCAGAAAGGTAAATTCTACAGGTAGGTGCATTTAGTCTTCAAGTTGAAATCCGCATTTTGGGGAGAATGGAGCAAATGAATTATCCACAGAAGGAAGAATAAACTCCCATACTATTCGGAACGTCAGTAAACTCCATTTTAAAACACAAAAACACCAATGTATTCTTAGGACTAATGTCCTGGATTGACAACCAAACTGTATTCTCTTTGCCATCCATATAGCAGCTGTCTTCTGTTAAGTGGGTAGTTTTCCTTTTCTCTTCCACAGCCACTCCTCCCTCCAGGGAGACATCTGCTGGTAAGAGGCGACGGAATGTCACTGCACGACTGATAAGAACTACAGCATTCCATTGGGAGATGCTCTGCCCAGAGCATTCCTACCAGGATATAATCTTGGATCCTGGAACACCAGCATGGCTTTCTCCACTGGATTTCCCAGAGGAACAGCTGCCTCTTCCACTGATCTTCAGAGGAAGACTACACCCTTCTACAGGATCCCTGCTCCAACAGAGCCACACCTGATACTCCAGGAGGGCTGCAACAACAATTCCAAATGGCCTGCTACCAGCACCCTGACCAACAGGGTGTCAGGTTGTGTTCTGGCTCTGTCACTGTTGTTTTGGTCTACTTCATTTTTTATTTTATCTTTTTATTTTCTTCCCTATTAAAGAACTGTTATTTCCTGCTCCCATATTTTTTGCCTGAGAGTCCCTTAATTTAAAATTTATAGCAATTTGGAGGGGGGGGTTTACATTTTCCATTTCAGGGGAGGCTCCTGCCTTCCTTAGCAGACACCTGTCTTTCCAAACCTAGACAACTAAACAGTGCTAGTTCAAAACAACAGAAAAACCCCATGCTCTTGTAGTTCTTCTTTGAGAAAGTGCTTGGTATTTTGCAATGTAAGAGAATACCAAAAATACTGCCACAGTTTAACAAACCACAAAACAGCAACAGAATGTGAAACTTTATTACAGCCTGTAATTCAGATATCCTCTGCCTAGTAAAACAATTACATCAATGCCCTTTGATTTCAAATGTAAATTAAGTACACGAAAGATCGTGTGTTAAAATGTATTAGCATTTCCCTATAGTCACTGCTCTTGGTATCTCTAAAGTGCATACTTACCTCCAGTTCTCCTCTCTTTTCCCTGAATCTAATATACACTACTGATTCTGTACTGTCAATCAGAACTCCACCAAGATGTCAAAGCACACTGGTGTTTCTATGGATTCAGTGGCCAAAAAGTTACAGTTAACTAAGTGCAGCCACTAAAAGCCTTTAACAGACTGAGCAATATAAACTGACTAGAAGACAGCAGTGGAAGTAAGGTGTGACGAAGTCTGACTCAACTTGCTCAAGTATCACACAACTAACAGCAAGGTTCTCTAATTTATGGAAGGCAACTTCACTGACAGCAGATACAATCATTAGCTCAGTCTTCCTCTAACAGTGTCTAGCAAGCCTTCAGAGTTCTGCATAAGCAAGTATCTTACAGCAGAGAACAATCAGCATCAGTCTACATTCATTATGCAACACCAGGCTAACAAGTGTAATAGGAAAAAATCCCACCATTTAGCAAGTACTGACATCACAGAAGGTATACCCTACTTCCTTAACACCTATCACCATCCATCTATTTAAATTGCTACTCCTAAATCCCTCTGCTATTAGCAAGAAGATTTGAAGGCAGTGATGGGATTTGCTCAAGATGCAAAGGCCATAAGGCTCTTTACATAGCCATGAGAGCCGTCATTATATGCAAAATTGCAAAAGTAAGTTTTCTGCATTCTTCACAAGCAGTAAATCAAGTTTTCTGGAAGTTCTATATCTGTATTTCATTACCTCTATATTTATATATAATTAAGCTTGCAAACAAGGCAAACAACGTATTGCTTCAGTAAACTGCAATCTCCATCAGTTTGAACTCTTTAGAATCATTTGATCTGACTGAACATTCAACACTAAACTAAAGTAATATTAAAGTGCTCCTCAGAAAGACTTATTTTGATTTGTGTAAATGACCTGCTCTTCAATCTAGGTTCTTTCAAATGTGTTTTAATATTTTTCTGTCCAAATGCTAGTATTTTTGAGATTAGCAACAAATTCACTGAGAAGTCTGTCATGCACACTAAACTTCAACTACTAAATTAAGAGGAACATAACCTCTAAAAAATTTTAACAAAAAAACGTAAAAAAGTTACAGCTGAAGAAGCAAGGAGAGCTGTCTAGAGCTTAAACCAGTTGCCTCTGCACAGAATAAAAGGGGTACTGCTCTTGGCCTGCACTGCTGGCTTTCCTAACTGTGCAGGAACTACCTAACTACTTCTGAAGTAACCTATAAAGCCAGGTATGTAAGCGAATATTACAGTTAGAACAAGAACTGTATTTCAAGAACTGGCCGCTTGCACTAAGCAATTGTAATGATATTCAAATTACTCCAGCCACATTTCTTCTAAGGCAACTTTTGGCCTATTTCTAATTCCACAGTCTTACAGAAAACAGGTTAAGTGAGAGAAACACTGGAAATTAAACTTACCACCCATGGCCTTTTCCTCTCAAGCATCTCTATTAAGTCTACATGGCGCTTGCATTCATGGTATCTTTCAACATCTTGCTTGTACCGTTCAACCCTCTGTTTCATTTTCTCCAATGAGGTGGTTTTTTCTCTGCACAAGTTCTGTAATATATATTTTCAGATTTTACAGTATCTAAACAGTTCCCAGAAAATAGTGTACATCTCACCTGTACATTAAAGCAGAAATTTAACATCAGAGGAGACATTTTAGTACAGCAGTAACTAGAGGGGAATCATCCAAAACAACAGGAACAGGAGAACAAAGGATTAAAAGAATGGCCTGTATGGCTAAGGACAAACATTGTTCCCAGAACACTGATCCTTTTCGTCTATCTCTTTGTTTTCAAGAAAGTGAGCAACGCTAAAGCAAAGGACCATGCTTGTTCATAAGCCAATGATTCATAGAAGACACAAACAATTTGTCTAGCAAAGTTGTTGCCAGTCAAAAATCCCAGAGAAGAAAGGAGTACTTGACATCCCTCATCTTTTGGGTCTAGACCATTTGCACACGTCTTCGTCCTTACAAGCATGTGAGTGTCAGAGTGAATGAGTTCTGAGAGAAGATGAGCATTATTTGGTAGAATCAACTTAACACAGACTTTGTAAATAAATACGACTTTCTAATTCTATTACATGTCAGGGTAAAATTTATTTCACTTTTCCTACATTCACTGCTGTCTAACGAATGCATTTACCTCTAGTTCTCTTTCCTTTTCTCTGAAATTTTTCAGTTCACAATGAAACTGGTACATTTCCGGAGAACCAATGGACTTTTCAGTGGCTTCGAGCAACTCAGTCTTACTCAGTTTTGTAAATTCTCCAACTTTGTCCTAGGAAATTTTAAAAAGTTATAAAAAATATAGGATTAGCTAGAACAGTGCAATACACTAACAGTGGATTTATACACTGAAACATACTTCTCAAGAACATCACCTGACTTACAGTTCTATGCTAAATAGCTCTGTCATAGTTAATGACCATCCCATGAAGTAGCCACCAAACCTTCCAGAGCATTTGTTCTCAGGCTGCTGAAGAAGCCTTGCAGTATAAATCTTTTGCAGTATAAATACTATGACTAACTCAAAAGCTAAGCCACTAGAAGTTATTACTACTTGCAGCTGAGGCTTTATTTTATTTATATATAAAAACCCAAGTATTTCTGTTGAAGGCAGAAGAGCTCAAAACTGAGACTGAAGCAAGAAGTGGGCTTGCTGTTGATACACTGGGAGAGAACAAATAAACCAGAACTATAAACACTGTAATATTGACTGAACTGACATTTACATAACTAAAGTTCTTTTAAACACAAAGGTATTTTACCAGAGTATGCTGTAAGTTGCAAACAAATACTGTACATAAGTGAAAGTGAACAATATGCCACCTGGCATATTTTTATTTCCGCAGTATTAGCTTTCTAAACTTTAATGTCTTCTTGAATTCAACAATAACCCCATGTCTAGGCTCTGATAAGGTTTCCTTTCACTACCATTCCTGATGATCCACATGAACTGGGAAGGAACCTGTCACAACTTCAAGGCGCAGTGTGAGGCAACTTAGCTCTCTACACAGGAATCCTGATCTGCTTGAACATGCATTCAAATACAGAAACTGCCAGTAGTATTTTTTAATCTCTCTCCTTCAAGACTTATTTTCCATTAGGATGATTTTACTCTTACGTAATTCCATCCTACACATCTTTCAGCCCTACGCTCAACAAACTGCTGACATTACCAGAAAAGCTCTATTAGCAAGTGCTGCTACTTGAGCATGAAGACAGGGAACATCAGCATCCTTCCTTTCAGAGTCAACAGGTACCAAACTGTCTGATTAGTGAGCTTTAAAGGTCACACAGCCCCTCTTTTCTTTCACCACGACACCAACATGGCTGCCTTACCCCTCTTGTTTTTTGTGCTGTCCTACTGAACTAGGTAAAGTGCTGCTAAAGCTAACTGGCAACAAAATCTTCTCAAAGCACAGCACTCCATTTGCATCCACTGTCTTTCAAAATTAATTCATACCTGAGGAAGAAACTGGCACAAATTGTCCACCTGGATGTTTAAGGCTGCAATTTTTTCTTCTACTGTTTTCAGGGTTGTTGGTTTTCCATTGATAAACCACACTGATGCATTGTTCATCACATATATCTCACGTGTGATGACAATATTGTCTGGTGACTTAAACCTGATTAATAGAAAGAAGTGTTTACATTTTCAAGAACACCTGAAGAGTGTTACACTTTCAAAGGTTACCCGAAGTATTGTTAGAATTTACAGACAGTTAAATATTTAATCTAAATTAACTGGACAGTAGCATCAGATTCTCATTTTCGTGATTCAGAAAACATCCAGTACTTCAGTGATGAACTAAATTCACAGGGCAAACATCAAGAATATGTGCAAATCTTAACTTGAAGTTACTTATATAAACGAGATGCCCATGCTGAATGTATGAAATACTGAACAGTTGTTACAAATATGAACAATTTCTATAAAAGCATAATCTGTGTGACATTTAGTAAGTTTCAAAACTGGTGTGAAGGAGGTACAGTACATCTTTAAGTATTAGTATACAGAAATACCTCAGTAACCTGTGTACATATATTCAATACAAGAAAAAAATAGTACACAACACAAAAAATACTTATTTATTTTCATTCTCTACTTTTAAAAGCCAAAGAAGATACATTAGTTTTCATTTAGTTTTCTAGCTCCATACCTATTTTCAAAAATTTAGTCTGGTTAGGATGCATAACAACTAAGTCCAACTCCTGAAATTTTGGTTTACCATTTTGATTTAAAAATTGTCTAGTGCCTGTTAAGCACACTGTTAAGGATGGAGAATACAGACTTGCAGAGTGGCCATGTACCTCAGGACATTTAAGAACAGAGTTCAATGCAGAAGCGAGTACCCATCTGCTGCTCATACTTGGACTAAACACCATAGGGATATGATCCTAGTTCTTGATTACAGAACTATTACTTCCTGCGTCACCTCACTTTAATTTATGAGACTTCCTTCCAAAGACCTACAAAGGCATGATCCTTTCCTTCATTAAAATAACATCATTTCACTATCATAACTTGGGTTTTGCTACATTTCAAGTGCCAAATTCAACAAAGGCAATACATGCCTACAGAACTTCAATTTTTAGTTCCTGTCAAAAAAGCAATCTTCTGCAGCCTTGGTCTCCCATCCTAGATATTGTACTTAAACATTTTCTACCAATCAGACAAAGGACTCAACTACACTGCAACCATGACATGCTAGGTCTAATGAGTTATGAAATGCTAAATCTTCATACATTGCAAGATTCTTTCCAGAATTTCAAGTAACACTGGAATATATATGTTAAAACAACCACACAATCTACCTGAAAGACATCCTATCTCCTGAACATATTGCCTGGCCAATCTCTAAAGAAGGTCTTACTTGATCACTCCCACAATAACAGAAATGGACAGACAAAAATTTTTCCAAGGCCTGATGTGGTATTTTTTTTTCCCTCAATAAAATTTTCTTTTTAGAGAATCTGATCAGGGTGGCCAATTGTTATACAAATTAACATAGACTATGAATCAGTTGACTATCTCTATTTTCTCTTTCATTCAGGCCAAGAGACCAGGCTAAGACTTATTAAAATCACCTGTGCCATAGCATCTGCAAAAAAAAGATGCATGTAGTATTGCCCCAGACAGAAGCTACTATTGGAATTTTAAGTCTAAAAGATTTCCAGTTGCTCTGTTTTGCAAGAGCTCAAGACTGCATTACGTGGAATTAGTCAGATCTTTTATTTTACTTCTTTTCTATCCGTATGTGATGTTTTCAGTGAGAATGCAGGCAAGCCCCTCCTACCAGCAGTCTCAGTATAAGAAAGTGAAGGCAGATCAATCTGTTTTAAAACTTAGACTTTTGTCTTTTTTCTTTAATGAAAAGAATTCCAACCACCATGCAGTGATGGCAGTCGTGACTAAATCATCAGAACCTTAAATGTAATCAAAAGCTAAACACACTATCTTTTTTTATGCATCTTTTTGTACACCAAGACAAGGTAAAATGCCTCAGAAAGCGAGGCCAAGAGTAGCCATCGCTGCTTAATTCTTGTCTGAATAACGATATAACTTTATGTTCTGAAGCCTGCAGGAATTAAAAAAGGACAAATTAAGCTTAAAGACAGACCTCTGCACAACAAAATTTTTTCTCACAAGTTTGTGAACACGTGGGGAAATGATCCAACTAAAAGCACATGAGGAAATAGTTTTACTACTTACAGTTCAATTTCCACTACGCCTTTCATGCACCCCTGCTTCACAAACAGACCGATCTACAAAATTAATTTAAAAGTTGTTATGGAAAAATAAAATGTATTATCTTAGGAGAACACACATTTGTATGATGGAGCTACTTAACAACATATTTTATTGAAAACTCACAATTCAAAGCAAAATAAAGCACTAACTAAAGGCACTACTATCCTCCACCAGCAGCATTAGAACCTCCTCCACAAGTTAACAATTTCTGATCAACTTCAGCCTCCAAAACTGAACAAATTATAATCAGCAGATCCACAGACAGGAAAAAGTTCTTGTGAATTTGGGGAACAAAGACAAGTGAAAAGACACTGCCAAGTACCTGTACTAGAACTACCATTTCTAATAGTATGAAAATACATCATGACAAGTAAAGAGACATACCAACACACAATACTGCCATGCTGTCAAGTCTCATATTCACATTTGCCTATAACTGAGCAGCTACAAGAGCATATGTGCAATCATTTAGGCACCCAGATTCATTGCTCCAAACCTACTCAGAGAAATTGCATCCAACAAGACTACCCAAGAAAGCAGGAGCAAAAATTTGAAAATTTCAAGATATTAACTTCCTACTACGTCAACGCATATCTTGACAGTAAAAAGTGAAAACAGAGTAGAGCAATCCAAATTCCATTTAAATCAAAGATCAGTGCCTCTATGCTTTCAGCTGAATTTTCAAGACACATTAGGAGTACGTTATTTCTAGAGGTACTATGTATTTTGGAATTTATTTTAGACTTTGTCTATTTCTCATTTAGTTGGTACTTCTTATCAAATATTTAGGCCATTAAGTGGCATTTTTCTACCCCATGGTGGATGCTTAGCCATCTTCAAATAAAACCTCTAGTCATCTCAGACTGTCCTACACCTAGAATTTAGGTGTTTCCATTTAATAATTTATACAAGACAACACGTAGTTAATTAAAATAACCCCCCTCTGCCTCTGGACCAGGTTACTCTTCAATTCAGATGTCTTTTTATAACAGTAAAGCAAATCAAGGAAGAGAGTCTTTCCCCCTATCCTCTGCTAGACAGCGCCCTGAATGAAATTCAGATTAACTATGAAAATTACAAAAGCCCATAATTACCTTATCAGCTCGGCCTAAGAAAGCAGGTTTTCCAGCCAGTCCCAGGCAAATGGCACAAACAATGCTTGACTTGCCTGTGCCATTAGCACCTACGACCACGTTCAGGTTGGGCCCTGGGCGTACTTCACAGACAGTGTATGTTCTGGAAAGTAAAGCGAGTTTTTGAATTTTAACACTCTATTACCTTAAAAAAAAGAAAGGAACTTGCTTAGAAACATTTCATTATTTTATTAAACAGATAAAATTACCTAATATAGACTCAGTCGTGAAATACCGTTTTGTAAGAAAGTCTCAAGCGTGAAAACTAACATTTCAATGAAACACCATGACATACATTCCCACCAGCCAGAGTACTCACCAGAACTTTCTTTAAAATCAGTGACTATGACAAATAAAATCCAGCAATATGATGGTAACTTTTTAAATGAACTTACTGGAGTCTCATTTTATTTGATGCATCAAAAAGAAGATAGAAAACAGGTCATGCAGTAGCTTTCTGGAGTTACCGTATCAGCTCATCCCCAGTGTTCGTTTTTTTTCCTAACTGCATCAGACATCTTTCATCAGGTGCTTCCAGAAAGCGTACTGCAGTAGTAACTGTAGGAAGAGACCAAACCCACCCATGCAAACTCGTATCAAGTTAACACCCTAAATTTATAAAGAATCCTTTGATGAATCATTCTGTTCCTGCATTGTGCCAAACACAGAGAGCTGAAACAGTACCACAAAAGGAGGAGTACAAAGCAGTTAACGGCAACACAGACCATGGCAACACAACCATGCACTTGTCCAAGAGAATGAACCCTTAATGAGAATTTAACTACTGCCTCTGAGGATTCAATTAACATCTAACACGTGACTCATGCACTACACTACGGAAGATTTTCAAGGCTCGCATGGAGACGTAAGAAAATTGTCCGACCACTTCTGCTGGTCCAAATACGTCCAAAAATAATGGTATTCGCAGCGCACAGCAGCTGGAAAAAACACGTGCAAAGCCCACGGACACTTCATCCTAATGAGTCTCAAGGCCTATCCCCACCGCCCTACGAGCACCTTCTGCAGTCTCCCGCTATCCAGTGCTTGGCAGCCACCTGCCTGAGAGACAACGAGCACGCAGAGGCTGCACGGCCGACAGGAGCCAGCCATCACCTGCGGGCAAGGCTGGCCGGCACCTGGGAACGCGCCCATCAGGGAAGCGACACAGCGCCGACAATCCCTGGGACTTGTAACCCACACAGCAGTGTCTCCCCACTCCAAGCAAGACACCACCTTCCATGAATACCGCTTCCCGCACTCGCCCCCTCCAGCCCTCGGTACCCGCGTGACCCAGCTCCGCTGCTTCGGCCCCTCTACGGCGGGGCGGAAGGAGCAGGCCGCGGACGCTCAAGTGGGGAGAAAAGCCCCCCGCTCACTCACAAGAAGTTCTTCATAAAGATCCTGACGATGGAGCCCAGTACGAAGGGGTACTTGGACTCAGCGCGCTTCACAGCTTTCCCCTTTTCCCGCGCCGCCGCCATGTTCCTCCCCCACACCACCCCTCCTTCTCCCTTGGGGCCGAGACCGCGCCGCGCGCTCGGCCCGGTTACGCGAGGGGGCGCGACTGAGCCGCCCTGAAGCTCCTCATTGGCCGGAGGCGCCGGCGCCCATTGGCTGGTGCGGCGTGGGGGGGCGGTCCTTGTTGCTGGGGCGGTGGCGGCAGCGCCTTGCGCGGGGCCGGGCTGGGGTCGGTACCGCGCCCAGCGCCGCGCCCCGCGTTCCGCTGCCCGTGCGTTCCGCTGCCCGTGCGTTCCGCCGCCCGTGCGGTCCGTTCAGCGCCGCTGCCCCTGAGTACGTGTGCGGCGTTATGAGCAGCTGGGCGTGCTTCTTGGAGAAGACTGAGAGGGAATCTCATTGATGCATACAACTGTCTCATAGGCGGTTGCCAAGAGGAGGTTGCTGGACTCTTTTCAGTGATGTCCTGCGACAGGACGAGGAGCAGTGGCCATAAAATGAAGCTCAAGAGCTTCCCTCAACATGAGAAGAGCTTCTTTCCAGTGAGGGTGGCAGAGCACTGTACCAGCCTTCGCCTGGCGGTTGTGGTCTCCTCTCTGGAGGCATTCAAAGCCCACTTGGACACCTTGCAGTGTCACTTGCGGTTGGTGACCCTGCCTTGGTAGCGCAGTCTGGAATAGATCCATCTCGAGAGCTCCCTTCCAACCCTAACAATTCTGTGATTCCATGATACAGGGTAATGGTTCAGGTAAATAACATTCCAAGACTGCCTGTCAGACAAGAGGGGCTGGTTTGGCAGCAGAAGTTCCTGGGTGTTTCTGGTCAGCTCCAGGGTGAGCCCAGGAGCCATGAATCAAGGCTGAGGCCCAAGGAGAATTCCTGAGGGGCCCAGACTGGGGAGTGTGGCCGGGCAATGCACCACAACAGACAGCTCATCTTTTCTTTGAGGTGGGATGAGTGTCAGGTTTTTTCTTGTTCAAAACATGAGAGGCACAACGGGACTCGGTGTGTCTGTCACGTTGCAAGAGGAGTGTGCTCTCTCCGGGCTTTGCCCTTACGCTGCTGCTCCTTGGGAGCTGTGGGTCTCCTCAGTGAGGGCAGTCACACCGGCGTGCTCTGCTCACATCCAGGTGGGCAACGTGCCAGGTCTTTTAGTGCTTGGCTCGAGCTGTCTTTCTTAATAGTCATGATTGTAAAGTTAAGTTTATGTTAGGTTTATTTTGTTGTGACACCATAGTCAGAATACCATTTCATTTACTTTATAAAGACAAAGTAACAGTGACATTTTATAACAGTTGTTATTTTGGATTTCTGTTGGTAAACAATATCTGAACTTGCCCCTCTTTTTGGAAATTAATAAGGATAATAATAAAATGAAAACTAATGGGACAATATTTAAAGAATAAAACCAATATTAAACATAAGGACAGTATTCAACAGAAAGACAATAAAAGGGCTTTACACTGATCTCAGTGTTATGTTTGCCCAATTATCCAATCACAAATGGACAAGCTGAGTTCCAGTCCATCACAAAATTACATTTACAGCAATCAAATACAAGCCCATTCCCACCTGGGGCATTATAGTTGCTTTTCAAGGTTTTTTTCATGTCCATTTTACAAATTGTGACCCATCTGGGATCAAAGCAATTCCTTGTAAAGCCTTCAGTAGCTTTTGAAGAATTTTTCACACATTAAACAGGCCTGGTATGGCAAGTCTCAGAACTGTTCTTTGCCACACTGTGGTCCTGGTGCACATAATGCAGCAGTGAAGAAAAGAAAAAACAGTAAATAAATATTGGTCCAGGACAGAAATTAATTCCATGAGGAGTTTCCCATGTGGACAGAGCTGATGGAATATTTTTTCACCTCACCATAAAACTGAAGTTTGCCGGTGGAGAAATCTTAATGCACCATACCCAGTTTTCAAATGTTCTGTAGCCATTCTTTTACTAGTCTCTGAATTTCTTATTCTCTTAACTGATACTCATCAGACACTGAAGTAAATTAAAGCCACCTTTCAAATTTTCCATCTGTGCTTTAATTCCTGCCACAAAAATGATTGCAAAGGTGATGTTCCCTACTTAAGAAAGAACTTAGGTGTTTTTTTGGTGAGTTTCTCCCCACTCTTTTTTTGCCTCCCCCCTTCTCTCCTTCCCCTCATCAGGACAATGCTTCACACCTTGTGGATAAGTGTTTCCTTCAGTGATATTGATAAAATTACTGTAGCAGTGAGGTCCCTAGAAATCACTCAGTGGAGAGCAGGTTAGAGTCCTTCATTTAGGTTTTTATTTTATCAGCCTAAATCTGATGGAGTGAGGCAGTTATATAAATCTTTAGAGACAGGAGCCTAATAGTTGTACTTCATGCTTCATTTCATTTACATACAGAGAACCACCAAGCCTGATTATTTTAACCACTTTATCTTCACTTGTTTTCTGCTTAGATAATTTGAGCTGAGTATTGATACCAAAACATGCACTTTACAGAACAACTGCAAAATCATGTTGATGCATAGGAAACAGTCCATTATTTCTGTTTGCTTTCATTTTTGAATAATAGCAAGAGCGATGTGTATATAAGCACCTGACTAGGGAGACTGTAGGTACCTAGCAGAGGCAGATAAGATATCAATTCCTTTTGGCTCTTCCTCAGTCTCTAGGAAACAAAAAATTGCTTCTATCTGTGTGGTTAAATAAATACATGGGTATTGAATGTAGTACACTGAACAATCTCTTCAATTGTTTCTGTCACCAAAATGAAAATGTACAAAAGATGCAAGGGCCTAGATCATCCCAGGTGCTGTTGATCCTTACAGGCTGTTAGGAAAAGCATATTCTTAGTTCTGAAAGGACCAGGATATGGTGGCTGTAAGAATAATTTCTACCACTCAGTACATATCTTCCTGCAGCAGTTCAGATTACTTTTTGTTAGCCTTCTTAGGTGATGGGATCCACACATTTCATTCTCTTCATGTTCAAAATAATGAATTCAGGCTACTTTATTAGGTTCAGTTCTTTCTCCTTACACTGATTAGTATGAAATCTAGAGCAGAGCAATAAGATGATAATCAAACTTAACATTTTATTAGGAAGTTATAGCAAATTTGGAAAAAACCCCTTACACACAAATACATAAAACCTTAAAAAAATAACAAGACATGAATTCAGTTTCCTATTAATATAAATGCAAGACATTTGTGGTTGTGGGCAAAGTGTAAGTGCATTCTCTGTGAGTGTACAAACTTGTTTAATAAAAAAACTCCAAAAAAAACCAACAAGACTCTCATCCCAGAAAACATATGGCTTTAAAGTGTTTCATTTCATATAATTCCACAGGCCAGCATCTTATGCTGAATTATACTGAACACTAGAAGTGAGTTTGTTATTGACAAATATATTTGTTATAGTAAAATAATACACTATCACAAAAAATGGCCAGCAGAGTATTAAGTTTCCCAGAGAGATTTGTCATTGAGAATAATTGCACTTAACCTGTAGGATAATACTAGTAGTTAACACTATTTTCTTTGTTATTTCAAAACATTTATAATTTTCTTAATAAAAATCCATTCTATCCCCAACACAAAACATTCACTGAATGCAGATTTAAGATAACGCAATATTGGACTTCAATTGTGCAACTTGAATTTCCTCTTTTTACTTATATACCAGAAATGTTTAAAAAATTAAAAATTAATGATCTGTGTAAAATGGGAAGCCTTTAGGTAATAACTGATGCCTCATGCAAAAGAGGAAATAATATCAAAAAGGTATGGTCTAAGAAGCCCTGAGTCAATAATTTCATTGAAAAGGCGAGGAACATGAGTGCTCCAAGTTCTTCCTATGTATTGGTGTGTATTCAAACCAGTCCAGTATTTACTTAAAAAATATTTTTAAATAGGCAGTTTGTGCAGTTTCTCACATACAATTCTTCAATATGCTTCATTCCTTTCAGCAGACTGTATTTAATACTCAATTTCATTTAAGCTGTCAGGATAGCCTGATGAGAATTGAATTTCTTCCACTTCTGGAATACAAAGAATGAAGAAATACTGTAATTATTTTTATTTTTGTCATACATAAGAATACTTACAGAATTTAATTAGCATGCTGAATTTAAATAGTACTTTCATGTGGTTTTTAAAAAGTCTACAGCCACTTTAGTAGTTGAGATTCTGAGGATGATCTCACATCCTATTAGAGGGTAAAAGTTCTGCACTAACCCAGCAGCCTGTTATTAAATTCGAATGGAGACTCAAGGGAAATATCACTCACCCACCTACAAACAAGCACTGTGAATTTCAGGTGTCTCTTACAAAGTATCTTGAAACTTACCCAAACAAGGTCCTGCCTGGAACAGAATATCATCAATAGCAGTGTCACTTCTTATTGACACACCGCGGATTGCCTCAAAAATAATCTGTAAAGTAAAATTTTCATGAATCCAAATGGTGGAAGGACTGAAAAATATAATATCCATGCAACCTATTCAAGGATACCCTTTACCCCCGCCTCTGCCCTCCCTTCCCCTCTCCTTTCCTCTCCCTTTCGTTTTCCCTTCTCCTTAGCCAGACCTCTGGCTTTGCATCATCCCTTCTCCTTGGTGCCCCCTTAGAAAGACCACCCTACAAGCAGCTGCCATTTCATCACAGCTCAGTAGCTGTGTCAAATCTGGACAGGGCTACAGACAACCGAAGGAAAAGAAATTACATAAATGATCTTGAAAAGGCCCTTCCACTACTGACAAAAACGATGGCATTTAAATTTAAATACTTTAAAATAGCATCTATATATGTTAAAAAATGTTGAATTCATAACTATTTTCCTACTTGCAACCTATTCATGTCTTTAATCCCTCCCTAAGTTCATTTGTAAAACATTACATTAGTTCATGTTCTTCAGGTATCCATTCAATGCCACCTATATTTAAACATTTTAGGTTTTTTTTTTTTTTTTTTAACAATACAAAACTTGGATTCTAGTACATAGTTCACTTCAGTATTCCAATTTGACTGCTTCTTGCTTGTTTT